TGTGGAAAAATTGATAGCAGTAAGGGTGAGAAACATTAAAGTTTTACTTTTCATCAGTAAATCTTTTGTATTTGTGCTTGTACTTAGACTTGCTGTTGAATGCCTAGATTTTGGCACAAATCTATTTCTTGGTTTATCAGATTTGAAAATTCATTGATTTATATAATTATTGTCATTTCTTGTATGATTCCCATTGGGTTTGTTTGTTTTCTGACACTAGGTCTTGTGTAGCTCGAGCTAGCCTCCTGCCTCAGCTTTCTGAGAGTTGGGATTATAGGCCTAAGCCAGTGCAAGCAGCCCCCCAGTGTTATTTTGAATAATGGTAGCCTCTGGGTTTTATCTCCCTGGGCTGATTTTGGGAAACTGTCCACAGGCACAAACCTTGGGTGTGGTAGGATTCACTCTCAGGAACCACAGTCCTGTGATGTATTATACAGTGCCCCAAAATATTGTATTTTATTTGCTTTTTCAGTTGTTTCTGGCAGGAAAATAATTTCATATCCTCATGGCTGGTAGCTGAAGTCTTTTTAATCACTTAATTGCTGACTTGATTGTTTTGGAGCTCCTAACTTTGGGTTTGATACTTTTCCCTTTTTTTCTTTTTGGAGTTTTCTTTCTCCTTGACTGGCAATACAGCCTTTTCCTGGTAGACCTATTCCTGACTCTCCTTTCTGCCTCCTTCTCTGGATCCTTTTTCTTTGGTTCCTTAAGCATATGGATTGCCATGATACTTACAACAGTAATGATTGGCATGCTACTCTGCAGCTTAGTAAGACCCTGGCTCAAAATATTTTAACTCATAGAACAATTGTTAGTATTTACTGGAGTCCTCTTTTCTTGCTCTTCTCATTCTGCATGCTCTTTTAAGTTATGGGCCCCACCTATATCTTGATAACTTTTACATTTCTGTTTTTAACCTGAATTGCTGTACTGAGCTTCAAATCTGTGTATCCAACAATCTGCAAGCATTTCCTCTTGGATTTTTCTTTAAGGTTTATGTCCTAGTAGAACTCGTCTGTCCCTGTTTCCATACTGTTCTTCATCTTGACACTAATTCATACCAAACACACACATGAAGATAAGCCATATTTCATATCAGCAAACATGCAATCTGCATGTTAATTTAACCTAAATTATTTCTTGGCTTTTGCCTCTCCATTCCTACCATTTTGTCTGACCTTCTGTCTGTGCTGTTGTACCAACCCAACCACCTAACTGATCTCTGCTTCTAGTTGTGTCCCTCTAAATTCTGTACTCCTCAAGTTCAAATTAGGATGTACTTCCTGTCTTAAAGTCTGAGTAGTTTCCTAAATGCTTCTGGCCAACATCTGTGCCTTTCGTCATGGTATACAGACTCCCTTTGTTGTGGCTTGCTTCTCCTTAGATCTTTCTCTTGAGCCAGCATTCTTCCCTACTGTACCATGCTGCTTCCTGTCTCCCCAGTTTTTACCTGGCCAACTCCTGTTTACTGGTTTCAAAGGTCTGTTCACTTGTTCACAGGTCTCTTCCTTTTGGCTGCCATAATATCCTAGCAAATGACAGGTTATTTTTTCTAGATATTTTTGAGCTTAATTTATTTTTCATATCCCAGTGTATTGCTTAGGACTTCTTGTACAGTGCTAAATAGAAGCAGTGATACTTGCATCTTTAGTATTCATATATATATATATATATATATATATATTTATTTATTTATTTTTGACCGGGGATCAAACTCGGGACCTTGCACTTGCACTTGCGAGGCAGGCGCTGGAACCACTGAGCTAAATCCCCAGCAAATATTTATACTTCTTAAAAGTCAAAGAAATACCACCTATCCTAACTTGATAGAAATTCTATCTAGAATCTGTGTTAAATTTTATCAGATGCTTTCTTTGATGTCTGTGGAGTAGACTTCCAAAAGATAGTCTTTCTCAACTCTTCTTTCTGATTTATTTAATGTGGTGTTGGATTTGATTGGTTATCTTTTATTTAGGATATTTTTATCTGTATTCACAAATGAAACATTTACAGTACTTATTCTTTTAGTTATTTGCTGCTTTTGTTTCAGAATTATTCTAGCCTTAGGGACTGGTGAAGCGTTTCAGTTTTCAGTTGGAATAACTGCTTAAATTTGACCTGGTTAGTCATTGGGAAGCAGTTGTTTCTTAAAGACTTTTAGTAGTTTGTCTGCAATTTTAGTTTTTTTTTAGACAGAGTTTCGCTTTGTAGTTCAGGCTGCCCCTGAACTCAGTATGTAGCCCAGGCTGACCTTGAACTTGGGTGATCCTCCTGTCTCAGCCTCCTTAGTGCTGGGATTACAGGCATGCACCACCACACCTAGCGCTTTGTCTACAATTTTAAAAATGGCTATTTCTTGGCATTTTGTTTTCTCTGAGTTCTAGATTTCTAGTCACGATTCAGGAGTAAAGTAGGACTCCTTTGGTACTTGTTGAATAAAAAATCTCCAGATAAAGCTTTGAAAAAGGATTTATTGTACAGAATTGTTTATCTTATCAATTTTTTTTTTGTCAGAAAGCATTGTTATGGCTACTTTACCAGGATGTGAAACTAGAGAAATAAATAGATATCTGTTTCCATGGATAAGTATTCTTCCTAAAAATATGCTGTTTGGTGTGATAGTCTAAATTTGAAGCTAATGTTTTTAGGAAAACAGTAATTTGCATTATTTAATCCAGTGCTTACATAACCATCATGTGTAAAAAGACCAACAGTAAACATTACAACTCTGTATATGCTTTGGCTTATTTTTATTGTTTTCTCTTTTGAAATTTATTCTATGATTTAGACTCTATAAAATGTATTTTATACACTAGTGCTACTTAGGAGTTAAAGTACTTTAATTTCAGTAAAACTTTCACATTTTCATTCATGTTTCCCTTTTAAAAGTTAATGTAGTTTTTCTTTTTAAAAATTTATTAACATGAGCTTGGCATGTAGCTCAGCTCTACAGCGCCTGCCTGGCAAGGGCGAGGTCCTGAGTTCAATCCCTGGTACAAAAAAAATTATTAACGTATATGAAAGGGACTTGCTGTGGTATTCAGATGCTCAGATTGTGCCTTGGTCATACCCAACTCCCCGTCATCCACCTTCTTACCTCTCCGCCCCTCCACTCCACAGCCTCGCCAGTCCTAGATTTACTTTAGATTGACACTTTCAGTTTCCACCTATGAGAAAAACGACAAACTTGTCTTTCTGTGTCTGACTTATTTTGCTTAACATATTGCAAATCAAATTCAGCAGCACAACAAAAAGATCATACACCACAACCAAGTGGGTTTCATTCCAGGGATGCAAGGATGGTTCAACACATGCCAATCAGTAAGTGTTCGTTTGTTTGTTTGGTTTTTTTCGTTTGTTTTGGTATTGGGGATCGAATGCAGGACCTTGCACTTGCCAGGCAGATGCACTGCCACTGAGCTACATCCCCCTGGCCCCAAATAGTGTATTTTTAAGCATTTGCGAAACGCTGGATGCATGACAGAAGTAGCTGAACATCCGAACATAGCTCTAGGATTTATGTAGTAAAGCAGTGGTTCTCACCCAGGGCACTTGCAAATCATTTGGCAGTGTCTGGAGAGTTCGTCAGAGCAGAGATGGGTATATGTGTGGGTGTGTGTACACGCATGTGCCCCGCTGTCATCAGTGGGCAGGGGCTGGGGTGCAGGTGGACACCCAGAGAACAGGGCAGCCCTCACTCAAGGCATGGTCTGTGTCGGAACCAGTGGTTTGCAGACTGAGTGACTGCGGATGGGAGATGCATCCATGCATACATACATACATACATACATACATACATACATACGTGCATACGTGCATACAGACAAGGTGAACAGTCTTTGTGCGAGCGTCTTTCTTTCAGCAGCTGGAGTTCTGAAAACTTACTTTTCAGTGTCCTTGTGCTGTCAGTGTTTGAAGAGTATTTTACTCGTTACTGACATCTAGTGAGATATTTGAAAATAAAAACTAGGTTAAGATTAAACATATAAATAAATCAGCAAGTTACTACTATTATTTTACCAGTATTAAGAGTTTCATAAGGGAAGTAGGTCGACATTAATTTGTTTACAGGTACGGAGAAAGCGTAGAATCTAGTAAATTCTTAGTTTAAGTATTCTTTCATGTTTCACTTATAGTCCTGATTTAATATTAGATCTGAGAATATAAAAATATTTTGATAATTTTGTGAATAAAAACTGAGCTATCCATTTATAAGACTTTTTATATTTTTAAAAATTACCTGAAATAATAGAATTTTGGAGCCAAAGAAGACCTTGGTGGTTTAGCCCAATTCCTCCACTTATGGAGATCAGACATTCCACTTTCAGAGAGGTGAACGATCTTAGCCAGTGTCCTGCAGCCTTGACCTCCCAGTTGTGAGTTAGAACCCACAGCTCCTAGTTGAGCATTTTTTAGAGTGGAGCATACACTGGATTTTCCTTGAACTTTTTGTTCATTTTTATTCAAACTATGAATATTAAAACTTAAATTATTTCTTTAGTATATATTTCTGTAGAATATCATGTATATATTATATACAGTATATATCATCTATTTTTCTTAGAATATATATGCTTTTTTTTTAAAAAAAAATATTGTTTGACATTTGTTTCTACTTTTAAATTCTTTTTCCTTCTCCTGTCATTTTTCCCTCCTTTTTCTCCTCTTCCTCCTCCTCCTTTTTTTACCCAGTGCTGGGGATCAGACCCAGGACCTGGTGCATGCCAAGCAGGTGTTCTGCCATGGAGCCACATCCCAGCCTTGTTTCTTTTCTGTTTTTAAGTGAATTAATATGGTGTTTTTAAAAATTCTTTTATTGGTACATTTTAGGTATACAATATAATTACATTTTTCATTGGGAACTTGTACCTTTACATGATGCATCTTGGTTCTTATTTTTTCCCCAGTGAATTAATATGTATGTTTATAAGTCTAATTCCATTTTAATTTGTAAATATTATGCCTTTTTAAATATGAAATTTTAAATTTTTATTTCACAGGCAAATACACCTCCAAATCAAGGAAGGCCAGATTCTCCTGTGTATGCCAACCTACAAGAACTGAAAATATCCCAGTCTGCTCTGCCTCCCCTTCCTGGGAGTCCAGCAGTTCAGATTAATGGAGAGTGGGAAACGCATACAGATAGTTCAGGGCGTTGTTACTACTATAACCGAGGGACACAGGAAAGGACTTGGAAACCACCCCGATGGACCCGGGATGCAAGCATGAGCAAAGATTTCCACAGTCAAGGAGATCCAGAGGTATGAATTACTAAGGAATCAACCAGTGAATTTCCCAATTTTTTCTTTTCAGTATTCAGAAACAAAAGAATTGAGTATCTTTACTTAGTATCAACACTGTAAAATGCTTGACTCTGAGATACTGTACTAAAAATTCTCGCCCTGCTTTATTATATTAATGCTAGTTAACTTCTAATCTCTAGTGGACAGTAGCTAACCTTGTAGTATGCCGGCTGGTTCCTGAATGGGATCAAAGTGGCCTACTGCCTGTGCTTTCCTTTATGTGTTAAATAAGACACTAACTTGGGCCGGGAGTGTAGCTCAGCGGTGCAATGTCTGACTTGCAGCATGAGTCCCTGAGTTTGATTCCCGGTACCAAAAATAAAAATAAATAAATAAATGACACTAACTTTATGCTTAAACTAATGATATTTCTAAGAAAAATATATTTTGTGACCCATCCAAATAATAGAAACAGTGTCCTCCATTGATTCAACTAGCCATTGCTATCAAGCCCCTCAGTTTTATCTTTTTGTCAGTGGTACCAGATCACCTTTTATTTCTGTGATGTAAGGGACATAATGATAATTCCTTTCCTATAGTTGAGTCATTCTGTAAATTTAATAATTCACTCTAAAATAATTGTTTTCTCTAACAAGTGTTTATACTATTTTTCCCCTTTTAGTTTCACTTCATCTCACACCTCTTGCAGGATGGTGTAGAGAACTGACAAATTATACTTGGAAAAATATTCATTTTGGGGCCGGGATTTAGCTCAGTGGTTCCGGTGCCTGCCTTGCAAGCGCAAAGTCCTGAGTTTGATCCCTGGTACCAAAAAAAAAGAAAGAAAAATACTCATTTTGTGGTCTGATGAGTTGCATTGAGACTGTTGAGATGTGTAGGAGAAAGGGGGCAGGAGGAACAGGATTGATAGAGTGGAGTGACATCTTGCTGTTTCATAGCCTGGAGCCCTTGCACCTGCCAGGGACATCTTGCTCTTACACGAAGCAGCTAGTGTACAGATAAACACAGAGCTCCAGGAGGGTAGGAGCTGGAGAAATCAGGTAACATGTCCTGCTTGTAGCAGGATCTAAAAGCTTTTTGTAGTTAATAATTTCCCTTTTTGTCCTATTTTCCAGTTGGCTATTTATAGCTTTGGTTTGGTGTTAACTCACAGTTTTACTTCAGTGCTTGAGAAAGAGAGAAAATGTTCATGCTTGACTCAAGTAGGAAAGTTTGGAATTTTTTATTTGATTTGTAGATCTAGAAAGATAAAACTGTCCAGGTAAAATCTTATAATTTGGGAGAATTAAGGAAAAGGCAGAACAGTAGACTAATAAAAGAATTTTAAAGTGTACATAGAAACCTTTAACATACATGTTTCTTAGCTTTTTTTTCTTTCAGTAAATAGATGAGAGTGTTTTGTCTAGCAAGGTCTCAGCTTACATTCTAGTCTCTGTGTAAATTGTATAATAATTATTTCCAAGTGGCTGGAGCACGTCTTCATTGCATGTGGGAGATAAAATTTTGACTGTGTGTATGTGTGAGAAATTGTCATTGTCCTGCCCTCATATTTAATGTATTGTAGGCCTGGGTATACGATTCTAGTTTGGAAATAATGTTTTCACAGCTACTAGGCATTTTCACTTCACTTAATTGGGAATCTAGGTTAGGTGCTTGCCGGGAGTGTCCAGCATCAGAACCTTTGGATCTTTTCATGTGACTTTAGATCTTCTCCCAGAAGGTAAGGGTTGCCTGCATATTTTGCAAGTGGTCCCTTGGTCTCCCCTCTCTGTGGTACTTAGGTCCCAATTGTGTTGTCTCTCAACTGATCTTACTGTCTTTTCTTCTTAGGGGGAAATAAACTCCCATACTTCTGGGGTGTGGCTTACATTCCCAGTGGCCAGCCATAAAGGGACTTTGCAGTTTTAGTCTCCTTTATTTTAGTGCCCTGCCTTCACCTCCCAGCTCCAGAGATACCCAGTGCTGTCAGTTCCTGAGCCATTGGCAGGTTCTGCTCTGTAAACTTGTTGAGTTTTATCTGCCCCCAATCCTCTTGCTCTGCCAGTTTAGAGTCTCCTTTTTTCTGCATGGATAGTTGAGATTTTTGTTCATCTGCTGTTTTATCTCTTTTCTTGTGAGTTTACATCTTTTTAAGCAAATTTCATTCATTGCTATTATTTAGTGGCATTTAAGAGGGAGTCTTCTGTCTTAACTCAAGCTGTCATTTTAGTGGCTGCCCTAGAGCCCTGGTTCTCACCTGGAGGCAGTTTTGCCTTCCAAGGACACTGACAAAGTTTGGAGACTTCCTGATGCTCACAAGGAGGAGTGCACTGCCGGCATACAGAGGACAGAGACGCTGCCGAGCGACAAACGGTCACGTTTGCCTCCTCAGCGAAGGATTTTGTGGCCCAGAATTTCAACAGTGCTGTGTCATTGAGACATTTGAACATGCTTGTTTTTAATTTTTAATTTTTAAGTTTTTTTGAACATGGCTGTTTATCAAGTCTGTTAGTTTCCTCTTGATCCTTAAAGCTGTGCAAGAAGTGTATGTGTTTTGCTTCTGCTGTTACCTATTTCTATTTTACCCCCCCTTATTATCATATTTTCTTCTCCTATATTTTCTTGTCTTGAGCATGTGCTTTTAAATTCCCTTATGAGTATCTGTTCCTGATAGAATCTTTCGTTTTTGTTCTGCTTGTATTTTTGAAGAATTTTAATAGATCTATAGTTCCAAGTTAACTGTTTATTGTTTTATCCTAATTCATTGAAGATTTTATTCTTGTGTTTTCTGGCTTCTATTATTGATGCTGAAAATACAGCTCTCAGTCTGATTGTATTTTCATTAAGAGTGGTTTGTCTTTTTAAAGTTTTGTATCTATTTTTCGCTATGATGTGACTGTATGAAGATGTCTTTTTTATTCCTGCCAGGTACTGGTTAGTACCTTGGAATTTGAAGAGTCCTGTCTTTGTCAGTTTTGGCAGATTCTTGGGCATTATCTGTATGTGCCCCATTCTCTCTTTCTGCCTATTCTGGAACTTCGGTTAGAAGAATGTTGAATGCACTCACTGTAGTGTCTCTCTGAGCTTCATTTTCAGTATTTCCAGATTTCATTTTTGTTCACTTTTTTCCCCACTTTTTCACCCTCTTTTTTTTTTTTTTTTTTTTGTACTGGGGATCAAACTCAGGACCTTGCGCTTGCGAGGCAGGCAGCAGAACCACTGAGCTAAATCCTCGGCCTTCACCCTCTATTTTTTTTAATTTAAAAATTTTTTTCTTTCATTTAAAAATTTATTTTTTGTTAGTACAGTTGCAGTACATAATCATTACCTATATTAAGCCAATACTTAAATATTTAAAAACCTATCCTTAAACATTTACAGTGTTATTTTTACTTAACCTTTTATTTTTTACAGGCCACCCAGATAGTAGTAATTTGTATTGTATGAAGTCAGTCTTATGGCTTAAGCTTCCACCTTTTCACCCTAATTATCGGGGAAGATTCCTGTGATTTCTCTAGTGTGGAATAAAGAGGTAGGGTTTATTCCTGGCTCACATATAATCTGTGGGTATAGCTCTTGGGGGTGGGCCCAGCCCCAAATCATGGGGTATCCTTTTAGACTTCTTCATGGCCTTGAGAGCTAACATTCTGGTTTGGGGTTGCCAAGTGCCTTAAGGAAAAAGCTGATCTTTTTATTCTACTTCACTCTTTGGATTCTTACTTCTGCTTAGTTTTTGACCTCTGAGTATTTCTTCAGTGACCTGCTGCTCATTGATGATTTTATTTAAAAATGCAATATTTTCATGCAGATGTTTATTGGAGCATGTATGATAGCTTCCTCATCCTCCTACTAGGGCACATCTGCTGCAGAGTACACCACAGTTACTATGCCAGTTCCCTTACGGATGGAGGTATTTACTGTAGAATAATTAACATTTGGAGAGTGCTTCTGCAAAACATTCTTAATTTGTATTTAATTGTCACTAAATAGCCCTTTTCCAGCAGCAGGCATCAAGATCTTGTAGTCAGTTCTTGTTCTGTAGTATAATATAATGAAACCTACCAAGATGGGCGGGGGATTTAGCTCAGTGGTTTTGCCGCCTGCTGTGCAAGCGCAAGGACCCGAGTTCGATCCCCAGTACAAAAAAAAAAAAAAAATACCAAGATATTGGAGGTTACTCTTCATGGCAGAAAAGAATATGTCGTGGCACAAAAATTGGAAAATTATGATGCGTGCTTTGTCAACTAGAAAGTTATATTCATGAAATTACTGATGTAATGATTTTTATTATTCCTTCATTTTCCTATTAGATTAAAATGTTTTTCAGTTTTAAAACCATTTTATTGTGTTCCTCTATAACTTTACATTTTAAGTTGTCTCACTTAAATAAAAAATAAATTTCTGATTTTTGAATTAGGTTTTCCATCTTTTGAAAGTGGTGTTGTTGGAAAACACATACGGCTTACTTTATGGGGTGCTTCTAGATGCAAAGTTGTCCGTGTTAGTTTTTGTGAACATGCTAATGTGAGGCTGGATATATCTTTATAACATTGAAAATCTACCTGTCACAGTGTTTCGGCCCAAATTATGGTGGTAGAAGACATTCTGATTGGTTAAGGTTTAACTGCAGAAACTCTTTCAAGGTGGTAGGAAGGGTCATTACCCCAAAGTGTTTAATAAATAGTTGTCAAATGAATTAAGTTTAAGTCTGGTAAGCATATTGCTACTTGGTCACATTATGATGCCTTTTGATTGTTAATATGCATCAGAAATTGTTACGATTTCACAATCTTTAATTTGCTTTTCTTCTGTTTCTAGTCTTTTTTTTTAGACTTGCCATCCATCCATCCATGTATTTATTTTTGAGATGGGGTCTTGCTAGATAGTTCAGGCTGGCCTTGAACTCACTATGTAGTCCACTCTGGCCTCAAACTTGTGACAGTCCCCCCGCCTCAGCCCTCTCAAGTGCTGGGATTACAGGTGTGTGCCACCACACCTGGCCTGTGTTTCTAGTTTCATGCATACCTGTATTGTTTCTGTACTGAATTTCTGATCATTCTGTATCATATCTGAATTTTCTTAATATTATTTCTTTTTATTTTGAAGTTTAGTTTTTAACGGTCTTTTATAAGCATTTGGTTGAATGAATTAGAGTAACTTTTACCACTTAGAACACAAAGTACAGTGTAACAAAGCTAGTGTCTTTTTTTCCATCTCCCTTACCTCCATACTTTAAAAAACTAGTTCAGAGTATTTTATTTGCCAGGCATTTGGTTCACTACTTGTGATATTCAATGAGTGATTTTGGCTTTTTTTTTAAAGACAGGGTCTCACTATGTAGTTTAGGCTGACTTTGAACTCACTATGTGAGCTGGGAATGTAGTTCAGTGGTACAGCACCTTCCTGGCAAGCATCAGGCCCTGAGTTCTATTCCTGGTACAAAAGAAAGAAAGAAACTGAACTCACTGTGTATCCCAGACTGGTGTGGAAGTGCAGCAGTTGTCTTGCTTTGGAGTCCTGGGGCTGGGATCAGAGGGTGAGCACTCCCAACACCCACTGAGTGGGAACTCCAAGGAGCTGGGTCTTGTGCAGTTCCCCCATGCCCTCCCTGGTTTCCACATGGATATGCATACACATACCCTCCCTGTTGTGTTTGAACTTGCCATTTCAGTTCCAGAGCAGCATTCTAGAGGTTGTGTTTTATCACTCCTTGTCTGGAAACACTATTTTCAACTTCATTGTAAGTTTCTGTAGGTTGCAGTAACAATGATAAAATAACTAACCATTATTAATTCACCTCACCACTTACCATGTGCTATTTAAAGACTTAATAATTTGTTTTGAAAATTAAATATTCAAATATATTCAAGTTTTCTTAGCACTTAAAGCCAAGTGAATTCAATCTCTTAGATTTTCATTTGCTGCATATTTATATTCAAAGAAGAAAAATCGTTATGTTTCTGACTGTTTATAGCTTCTTTCATCAGAAGAAAACTACCACAGCATTTGTTACAGCCAGTCAGATAGTCAGTGTGGTTCTCCTCCAAGGGGTTGGTCAGAAGAGTTGGATGAACATGGGCATACCTTATATACCAGTGACTATACTAATGAAAAGGTACTATCTTTTTTCTCATCTAGTATTTCTTGGCAAAATCTTCTCATCAAATAATTGTGTACTGAAGCTTTAGTAGTATTTTAAAAACTTATTAAAATATTCACCTTTGTGTGCTCGCTTTGGCAGCACATATACTAAAATATTCACCTTTGTAATTATATAATAATGCCAGTTGACAATGCACACTTATTATATAACTACTGATTCATGGTTTTAAACTGCTATTATGACAGTAATTTTTGTGGTGTTGATAGCCCACTTTAGATGGACCTTTTAAGGATAGACCTAGTAAGTGTCCTTTGTTTAGATTTCTTCAATAAGCATATTTCTTTATATTTTTCTTTGAGAATAGATTTTTGGAAATTGCTTTCTCAACTCACCATTATTGTATGCTGTCTTATTGCCTAGACTCCTTTTTCTGCTATGACTAAATTTGTGTAAAACGAAAACCATGAATCTAGTATTCTATGAATGATAGGTTTGGAAATGAATATTGAAAATTTATATGTGTATTATATCTGGTGTTGCTTAAGAAGATAACTGGTTGCTTGTGCTAGTTTAGAGAATTGATTCTTTGGGATAAAGCGGAGTAGGCTTTTACTCCTCTTTCCTTACTCATTTGCCATTAGAACATGTGGAAGTGATAGAGTTTTCATTTGTATTGAAACTAAGATCATATGTTCACTTTGGTACAACTTAATCTTCCCCCTCAAATTACCTATAGTACATTACCCCAAGTCCCATGTTCTTCATGTATCTGTGTCCGTGTATCTTTATGTCATATGTTTCTTGTTATGTTAAGTGGTACTTGACTCACTAGCCTGATATTGAAGAAAGAAAAATTTACATTAATATTGAGTACTCCACTTATTTTTACCATGTTTAAAATGCAAATCTGTAAGTTTATTGATTTTTTTTTTACAATTTTCTTAGCAAGTAGAATAAAATTCATAGGGATAGAATCTAATGTCTGGTAGTCCCAGCTTGATTCATGTAAAATTTTAAATCCTATTGTATTTCTGTAGTGGCTCAAGCATGTCGATGACCAAGGTAGACAGTACTACTACAGCGCGGACGGATCTCGGTCTGAGTGGGAGCTGCCGAAGGTAATGGCCCTTCACAGTGAAATCTGTTTACAGGCCTAGATGGGTGACAGTGGAGGGTGATTCCAGCAGATGAGTTTTTATATTGTTACTCAGCTTTTAAAAAGTAGGAAGACTTTTTTGGTTGTTATTGTTGTTTTCTTTTTCTTTTTTGTCTTTTTAGAATTCATTGAGAATCCTCTTACTGGCTAAATTTGTCTAAGGTGTGCATTTGTCTTTACTGTCTGGTACTGATTATTCCTATTCAGAAATTCTTTTAGTTTAGCTTGAGGTTGGTCTTTCATTACTCCTGTAAATAAAGATTCTCTTCAGTTGCAGTAATGCCATCTTGTATTTAATTACCTTGCATTTTCTACATGAAACTGCTCTTACATTTAGTTTTTAAGGGACAGAAAAGTGACTTAACATTCAGGATCATCCTCTTGCTCAAGTGTTGTAATTCAGTCACTGGCTGAGAGGCAGTGTGTGGTGCTAAGTTCTGCGAGGGCCTGGCTGGAAAATCTCTCCAAGGGAGGAAGAAAGCGAGTTACATCACAACTGAAGGGGAGCTCGTTAGCATGATCCTAGGTGCTGACCATCATGGGACCAATTGGGCGGGACCCTCAGTTTTATGATGTGCAACTTCTTCCATCACTTGCCACACACCATGTTAGAATGTTTTGGAGGTTTTTTGAACTCTCAGTTAAGTCAGATACAGCAAGGGAGCTTCAATTTGGTTCTGTGAGAGTGGGAGAATTAAGCAGTGTTTTAGAGCCTCTGTTTAATGGGTTATTGCTGTGTGATAAAGGCAATTGCAGCTTAAGTTCTGTACTCTGAGTAATTTTAGCACTCATACTAAGTTAAGGAAAGTTCTGTCAGATAGGATTATAACCCGCAGTGCAAATACAGTACTAGAAATTTACTATTTTCTGAATATATTTTGGGGGGTTAGTGCCATAGTCTTTACTCTTTAAGAAGCTTATGAGTGAATTTGGAATGAAGATCCCAATTCGTGCAGCAGCTAAATACAGCCAAATATGTGTATACACACACACACACACACACACACACACACACACCCCCACCCAACCACCGCCGGTGAGTGAAGAGGGAGAAAACACTACAAAACATCTTTATTCAAAATTGCAAATACAGTGAAATCTAATGTTATTATAGACACAAGAAAATCAATAACCAGAACATTGTACTGAAGGTGAAATTAATTTTCTTAATGAAGACTTAAACTAAGGATGCTGTGGATGACTCGTTAAATGAAGTCCTTCATTTAAAAAGAATAATAAATTTCCTGACATGGTGGTATATTCCTATCATCCCAGCACTAGGGAGGCTGAGATAGGAAGAACACCAGGATGGCCAGCTTGGGCTACATAGTGAGTTCAAGACCAGCCTGAACACGTAGCAAGATCCTGTCTTAAAACAGCAACAATAACAGTAACAGTAATAACAAAACAAAACTAAACCAAATTATGAAGAATGAAACATTTATGAACAGGTAAGTATAAGGAATACATTAGAAGTCTTCAACAAGAAAAAGATGGCTATTGAAGTCAAAGTAGCAGATTGCATAAACCGTAAATATGAAAACATAGTTATGAGAAGTGAAGAATGGATTGAAAGTTTTCTGTATGCATTTACTAGAAATTTCAAGAGAAGAGTGTGTGGCTGGGGATTTAGCTCAGTGGCACCGCCCCTGCCTTGCAAGCGCGAGGTCCTGAGTTTGATCTCCGGTACCAAAAAAAAAGAGAGAAGAGTGTAGAGGAAGCAGTAGATAAACTATTTAAATATATCATTTCTGAGAATTTTCTAAAACCAAAGAAGGCATGTTTTGTTTTATTTTCATTTGTATTTTGGTGCTGGTGATTGAACCCAATGCCTTCACACAGAGTTACGGTCCCACCTCTTTATTTTTCATTTTGGAGAGTTTTGCTAAGTTGCCTAGGCTGGGTTTGAATTTGTAACCCTTCTGTCTCAGCCTCTCAGAGTGCGGAAATGACAGGTGTGCACCACCATGCTGGGTTAGGCATGAGTATTCAACTGAAAAATATGCCATGAATATTGACCAGGGTAGATAAAAATAGATTGGTAAGCCAGGGATGTAGCTCAGTGGCACTGGGCCTGCCTTGCAAGCACAAGGTCCTGAGTTCAATCCCCGGTACCTGGGGAGAAAAAAATCGGTAAGTTGACAAATTTTGCTGAAGGTGCAGAACTTCAAAGCAGGAAGACAGTCTTATAAGATGTCGAAAGGTAAAAGGATATGTAGAAATTTAATTGAACTACCTATTTTTCTGAATACATCTTTGGTGTGCAGTACTGTGTAGACGTCCCGATAAATACAATCTGTAGGGCCTGGTCTTTACCCTTAAGAAGCCTGTTAGGAGTGCTGAAAGAAGAAATTGTCCGGCTGTGGCAGATTGCAGCACTGGATCCAGTCTTCATCCCTGCCTGCACGAGTGCTCTTTGCCCTGAGTCTCCGTGGGGCGGGCGCTGTGGGTAGGGCCTGTTCTGCTGCCATGGCTGGAGCTCAGTCATGTGGCTTGCCCTTGCTGATGGCATACGAGCAAACATGACATAAGCAGAGTATTGATGTGGGCCTGGGAGTGTGTCAGTTACTGTTCTCTCCTTGCTGAGACAAAATCTGCGACACCCCAAGTTAGAGGGAAAAGGCTTATTTGGCTCACAGTTTGCAGAGGTTTCAGTTCATAGTCGGCTGGCTCCAAGGCAGGGATGAGAAACCGGCCTCGAAGAGGAGACCTAAATGGCGCGCACAAGGCAGCAGAGGCAACAAGAGAGACTTTAACAGTGTCTTTCTGCTCCTTTTATCTTTTTCAGACTGCTTAGGGCAGATGGCACTCCTGCCCTTAATCCTAGTGCCCTCGGGCCTAACCCCACAGTGAGCCAATCACAGGATCTAGATTTAACTACCTCTGGAAAAGCATGAGGCTTTGGGGGACACCTAAACACCAGCCGTAACAGGGTGTCAGACTTGCTCCTGTACCTCTGCCAGCATCATGAGATGTGTAAGCCCAGGATAGTCTCCTGGTTCTAGGAGGAAAATGAGAGACCTCTGGAAGAGGAGTGCATAGGAGCTTTTCTAGATCAGCTAGTTTGTCACTGACTCACATCTGTGGTAGAAAGTGATTGGCATTTTAATAAAGCCTGTTCTTCCCTAGTCGTTTTGATTATACCTGCTTTACTCCTGGTGAGTAGCATCATGTGCTATGCAGGGTGTGGTGTGGAGCCTTTCAACCAACCCTGGCGGGTCCCAGCGGATCAGCACCTTCTCCCTCCCACCTGAGAGCTGTGGAGAGCATCCACAGGAACCCTGGTGACCAGCCCCACACTGCATGGGAGAAGCCCTGTGAATTACCTCACTATGCTCCAGATGAACAGCAAGCAGCAAATGAGAGTGGGAAGAGAGTTACAAGAGAAAGGAATTTAAAAGCTCTGTGTATAAGGTCCCAGGTACAACTCTGAATGGCCCAGGTGTGCAAGCAGCCAGAAGGAGCACCTCACCAAACCTCTGAGAACTGAGACACGGTGTGGAAATACTGCCAAGGCTTTAAATGGACCTCTAGGTAGCATACGGACAGAACAGACTAGAACAGCCTAAAAAGATTTTCAAAGCTAAATGACATTTGAACTATGGTCCAGAAAAGTGAACCAAGATGTGCATTCTCGACCTAAACAGGTTTATAGCCTGCTAAAGTAGCAAATGTAGACAGAAATCAAAGTTGTATTACCCAGAATACTAGAATTACCACAAAAAGAACCAGTAAAATCTCAACTGGAATGAAAAAGACAATCAATAGGTGCCGACACCAAGATGACACAGGTAAGAGAGTAATCTGGTAGAATTTTAAAGCAGCTGTAAAAATGCTACAATAAGCAATTATGAACATGCTTGAGATGAGTGAAAAACTCGAGAGTCTTAGTGAAGAAATAGAACACTCTAGAGAAGAACCAAAGGAATTCTTAAGACCAAAACACAATGCTGACTGAATAGACTCAATAGCAGAGTAGAGGTGAGAGAAGAGAGAATCCGTGCTTTGCAGGTAGGTCAGTATATCATCCAGGCCGAACCAAAGAGCATAAATAGGGGCCTGTGGCCAAACACAAAAGATCCCACATTTCCTTTCTTTGGAATTCCAGGAGGAAAAGAGAAAGTGTGAGGCTGAAAAGTATTTCAAGAAATGTTTGAAAACATCCCAACTTTGGTAAAAGACAAAAGAAGCTGAATAAACATCCCATGAAATGAACCCCAAGAAATCTATTCTGACCTACCATGATCAGGTTCTGAAAACACCCTAAACCCCACCCTGTACCCCCAAATTCTGGAAAGCAGTTCAATGAAACAAAATATTACCAACATGATAACAATAATGTAAAATGGCAGTGAATGTCCTACTGGAAACCATGAAAGCCAGAAGAAATGGTGCAACATTTTACAAATGCTGAAAGAAAAGTATTGTCAACTCAAAATTCTGTATTCGGCAAAGATACCCTGTAGGAAAGACATTGTTAGAACAAAGTAAACCAAAAATTTTATCATTTTTTTTCCTCTCAAAAGAATTTCAAATAGAAGGGAAATGATAACTGAAAAAACTTGTTAAGTCAGGAATGAAGAGGGAACAGTAGAAAGGGTGAATATCCAAGGGCACTATTTTCCTGAGTTTTTAAAATGATGCTTGACATTTGAAACAAAAATTACAAAATTTCTGAGGTACTACTCATATACAGAGATAACTTTTAAGGCAAGTATATCATAAAATGGGGAGATAAAGGAATGTAATTGTGGGTAAGTTTTCTTTGTTCCATTTGAAGTAGTAAAATGTTGATACTGGTAGTCTGTGATAAATTGTGTATGTTGTAATCCCTAGAGCAAGTACTAAATAACTGTAATAAAAGAGACTTAAACTGTAGTTACATTAAAATATAATAGTGAAAGTTGCTTGAGGTGCCCATAAGAAGACAGGGGAGGAACGGGAATGATAAACAGAAAAGAAAACAAATAATAAGATGGCAGATTTAAATCCTAACATAAATAGCTACATTAATTGTAAATGGCTAAACACACCTGTTAGAATTTCAGAATGGTTAAAATACTGTGACACAAGCATAGAAGAAATCACTTTAAATATGAGACACCTTGCTAACAGTTACCTGTCACATAATTTACGGTGAATTTCGTGCTTTACAGTAAGATTTACAGAAGCTTTCCCATTAGAGTTATAAACTAGATTAGAATTTTTCCATCACTGCTTCTGTTCAAAAATTAAGAAAAAAATAGAATTGAAAAGGGAGATGTAATTATATTATTGACTGTTAGGAAATCCAAGAGAATCTACAAACTTTAAACATGAAAGTTCAGAGTTCCTAGTTATAAAATCAACATAAATTATTCGTTTCTCTAGTAAAATGCTTGAAGATATGATAGGAACAAAGCTCTCATTTACTTTAGTAGCAGCAGCAAGAATCATAACTTACAAATATGCCTGTTAAAGGTCTGTAAGATACTAATGTTCCTGGCTTGAGAAGCTTAATTTTCTAACAGTAAACAAATTAATGCATTCTTATAATATCTTCCCCCCACACTAATTTTTTTAAGTGATTCTGAGATTTATATTCACAGACAAAGGTCCATGGAAAGCTAACATATTCTTGTACAGGGAGAATTGGGTGTGGGGCAGGAGTGATTTGGCTTCTGCTGTGGTAATTAAGTTGAGACAGTAAGGGCACACATGCAGTAGGAGGTGGTCAGTAGGAAAGAACAGAAGGTTCACATGTGGCCTTACGAATCAATGGGGTGAGCATGGATGACAGTAAATGTTAAGATTATTGGTTATTCATATTAAAATAATAAAAATAGATCTTGATATCTTTTGATGCTCAGTGATTAATTTCAGTTAAAGATGTAAATTTAATAAGCAAAATGTTAAAGATTGTACAAGGATCTATCAAAGAATATTTCTGACTGCAGAGAAGTCTGTATACATAACCAGTGAGAGACAGTTAAAAATATATAGGTAAGGGCTGGGGATTTAGCTTAGTGGTGCTGCCGTCTGCCTTGCAAGCACAAGGTCCTGAGTTTGATCCTCGGTACCAAAAAAAAAAAGTATATATATATATATATGTAAAATATATGACTAAGCAAGACACAAAAGAGGACATAGTACCTGGAAAGTATTTTAACTTTACAGTTATTCAGGAAAATGTAAATTAATACAACAAATATTTAACTGTTCAGGTAAATTTTTAAAAACTTGTAAATGTATACACACAAGTGCATGAGAGGATCATAATTGTTTAAATTTTTTAAGATTTATTGCAGTAAAAGACACATTGCCATTAATCCTCCTCAAAATACTCCCCCTCGCTTCAAAGACACTTATTCCATCATTCTTCCCACGTTGGGAAGCAGTTCTGGAGTCCTCTTTTGGAAGTGTCTTTACAGGGAGTGATCAGAAATGCAGTGCATGCTACCAAGTGCCACGCAGTGGACAGGCAGGCTTGTGAAAACATTACATTGTGTTTTCATCCATTTTACTCACTGGGCCTGGCACCATGCGACCACAAACGGTAAAACGTTTTGGATTGATTCAGGACATTGAAATAGCCATGGCACCGCACCTGGATTCTCACCACAAGGGGGCTTCCAGAAGGGCTTAGACCTGGCAAGAATGTTAGGGTGAGTTTGTTCAGAGTAAAGGGGAGGGCCGGGGGTTTAGCTCAGTGGTGCTGCCGCCTGCCCCGCAAGCGCAAGGACCCAAGTTTGATCCCCGGTACAAATAAATAAAATTAAATAAATAGAGTAAAGGGGAGTATTTTGAAGAGGATTAACAGCGGTGAGTGTTTTACTGTAAACATTTTTTAGAAATTTAAACATCCACTATATTTTTCAATCACGCTTTGTATTTTATGCACACAAAGTTTAAGTTAAACATTAAGTATTGATGAATGTAAGGCAATGCAGAGCATCGTGTTCTGCTGGCAGGAGTGTAAAATAGTGTTAATATCTTGTACACATCCACTTGTATCAAAATTGTGTTCTTTTAATATGTATAAAGGTCAAAACTGGTATTTAAAAAAAATTTTGTTTTTATTTTTTTGGTACCGGGAATTGAACTCAGGGCTTTGTACTTACCAGGCAGGCCCTGTGCTGCTGAGCTACATCCTCAGCCCACCTGAGATTTAAAAAAAACAAAAGGAATGTATTGAGTAAAAATGTACATTGAAAAATGGTGCAATGATATGATTTCATTTTTAAAACTAATTATTGATACGTAAGTGTATCAGAGTATAAAATGCGCGTGAATGATGAACACTGAACTTTTGGTACAGCTGGGAAGGCAGGGAGAGATAAATGGAACCTGGAAGTTGCATTCAGATGGCATCTAATGTACATAATATCTCCTTAGGAGAAAAATAGTTGAAGCAAATGTCTTATGTTAATATGCTAAAGCTTGATAGTAGGTTTTTATTGTAGTTTACTCTTGTGTATATGCTTAAAGTAATTGACAATAAAAATTCAGTTAAAGTTCTTGAAACATTTTTTAAAAGGTATTTCAGAAATGTTAATTTTGGTCATCTTTTTAAACTTGGGCATGTGTATATGTTTTAACTGTGAGGTTTTTAATTATGTGTATATTGTGTGCTAGATTTTATATCTAACATTTTCATTTGTGTTTCCTTTTATGACTATGCTGTTGCCTTTGAGTACATTTAAAATTGTGATTATAATCCAGTTTAATTTATATTATTCTTGTTCCACATAGAAATGATGTCTGAATTGGAGTATGACAGGCTCAAAAGCTAGGTAGGCTTCCACTGAAGTTCATACACAGTCTTGCCCATAACTACCCATTTTAGTTATTGGTAGAGGTGACTGAGTCACAGGGAAGAGATAGCTAGCTCTGTTTACTAATTGGTTCTCTTTATACTTAGAGATGTCTGGCACAGAACTTTTTGGTGGCCTTTAAGTGTCATCATTGTTTAGAAATGGTCAGTTTGGGAACTTAAGTAATAATCTTAAGACTGCTGTTTATCAGATAACAGTGAGTTACAAACAAATACTCAAATGTGATCACGTGGCTTTGGTAAATTGTAATGCAAAGATCAAAGGAATAACTTTGGGAGACAGTTGGGGAGGCCTAGATAGATTCAGTTTGGAGAGTGAAGAGTGCCATTGTGGAGAGAAAGATACTGGAAGATTTTTTTAAGACAAAAGAACAGCCTTAAAATATAATTGAATTGAAATGATAATCAGAGTTTTAAAAGCTAAGATTTGCTAGACTGTAATTATGAATGAGGGTAGTTGATATTAGGTATCTTTTGGTTTTAGAAGAATGTATCTGTTAAAAAATAGATTTTTTTTTGAAATTGCCTATGTAAGACAGTGTTATTCTAAAGGCTTTAAATTTTTCAGATGTTTTCTTTTGATGATCTCCTTGGCATTTCAAACTCTTACAGGACTTAATATCTTACTGATAACATGTCCTTAATTTTATATGTAGTTTTCTTTTGGTAGTGATTATCTATCCTTTGTACATAGCTGATGTATTCAGAATTGGCCTTTAGAACTAATACGACCTGAGAAAAACAAATAATAGTATGCTTGGCCTTTAAGTGAAAGCAAAGAGAAAACCTAAAACCCCAGACTCTTAAATATAAGAATACTGTTGTGCATATAAGCATTAGCTTGCTTGCTTGATTTATTTATTTATTTATTTATTTATTTGTGCCGGGGATCAAACTCAGAACCTCGCGCTTGCCAGGCAGGTGCTGCTACATCCCTGGCCTTAAGTTTAGTTTTGTTGGATTTTTGGGGATTTTTTTCCCTAAGCATTAGTTTTAAAATGTAAACCAAAAATTAAAATCACGTGGATTTGATAATTGACATGATTATAAATTAAAAATAAAATTGTCCAGTGATCGCCTTTTATAAATTATGATAGTTTATGTTTTTTGAGAATCTACTCTCAGGGGAATGAATATCTGATGCCTTTTATACTTTGTTTACTCTTTAATGCAACTTTCTGGATAAGATTATTTCTGTTACATCTTTGGGGGGCCAGTTGGAGAAGCTCAGACTTAGGGAGATTAAATACTTTACAAAACACTAACTGGGCCTTTCCATTGGTAGAATCTGTGGTCTTCTCAGGTGTGTCACCATGCGGGACTGAGATAACTAAGGTAGAGAATTCATGGTGGTGTCTTAGGATGAACTGAGGCTAATACCCATGTGTGGTTTGGAGCCAGCATATTTAGATTCCACTTGTGTTTCTATTACTTAATGAAGTATGTTTTATTTTCTCTAGTATAATGCTGCATCCCAGCAGCAAAGAGAAATAATTAAAAGTAGGAGCCTGGACAGGCGGCTGCAAGAACCAATAGTATTAACAAAGTGGAGACATAGCACCATTGTATTGGACACCAATGACAAGGTAGGACTTTCAGGAAAATCTCTTGAGAATTTTGGCAAGTTCTTTTACGTTATGTCACATGGTAAATTGTATGCTCTGTTAAATGGTTCTTTGCTAAAACATTTCATTTCTTTTGAAGCAGCTTAAGCTTTTGATTTGCATATACTGAAATGTACCTATATTTATTTTTTTTCCTTAACTAAATGATACACCTTAGTGTCTAGTTTTCACCTGTGGAATACGTTTTGGCTTTGGATTTGTTTCAGTTTTTGGACAGTGGACAGACTGTAGCTTAGTCATGTATATGCTTGACATACTAGATAGACCCTAATGAGTGACATTTTAAAGTCATACTTCTGTCATGCTTTGCATGTCTTCAGTCCTCAGTAGGTTTCAGAGTGGAAGTAGTTCTCATCTCAGGAAAGACTAGAATTCAGATACATTTTGATGCAGATATTGAAGAGACATTTTAAAATCTTCCTTAGGAATTACGTCTGTATAATGTAAGTTGACTTGGGGGATGGGGTACCTAGTACTTGTTTTTTCAGAAATCAGGCGAACCAATATTAAAATGCAGAAGTCGTGGTAATATCCCCAAAACTAGATAAACTTACTTTAGCTTTTTTGAGGCTGGGTCTCACTGTACAGTCCAGGCTGGCTTTGAGCTCATGGTGATCCTCCTGCCTCAGCTTTCTGAGTGCTGGGATTACAGGTGTGTGCACCATGCCTTTCATTTTTTAAAAAGGCATCTGTCTTTGAGGACTGACTCTTCTTCCTTTCTTTTTTCTTTGTTGACTCTAAGGCTTCTCTTTTAGCAAAATTTTAAGTTTTCCACTTTTTTTGCTGTATTGCTTAGGTGTATTAATGAAAATAAAATGAGCTCTTAAGACATGTCTTTTGGATACTTTCAGTCATAATTCCTTTGTAAACAATTGATTCCAATTGATCAGTCAAGACAATTGCAATATTTTGATATCCATGACTAAAATTAACCTTTGTATGTTAATAGTAGACTTCTGTAGAGCTATAAAAATAGTTGACAAGTTTGTAAGATGGGCTTACAAAGTTGGGCTTAAAGAACAACAATGAAAGCAAACTAGTTTATAGCTTTTATTTTATAAGGATGTTATGCAACTGAATGTAGAGGCATATTAAAGGAATAACATTCTGGAGTGTGTGCCATTGAAGAGATGCTTGAAAATAGGATTGAGATTAGTCTGGGCAGGTGCAAGTTCTAGAGATTTTTTGATAGAGAAATTCATTGACGCTCTTAAATACACTCCTGGGCAAAAGCCATTGTTAAATGACCTCCATTCCCTATTTGTATCAGAACAAATAAAATGTGATAATTTGATGATACATACTTAACATTTCTTGTTTTAAATTTCTCTTGAGATTCATCTTTAATGTTTACTTCACATAACTTGGATGAAGTCTTATTATATTTCCTGTTTGGTTTAATTGTCCCAAAGTTGCAAGAATATGATTGTCTTGAGACCTGAGATTACTTACTTTTAATAGAAATGCCCCTGACTTTTCTCTTTGTAAATTGATTCATAACTAATTGCTTCATTAAATAAACTTTTCTGTTTATCATTACCTATATTAGGTATGATTAAAAAAGTGAATGTTTGTATTCTATTTCTATAGGAATAACAATGCTGTGAAAAATAATTACCTTTTAAAATTCAGTTAACTAACTTATTTTCTAGTTTGTGGATCACCAAAACTTTCTTTGTCATACTATTTTAATTACATACCCTTTTGTAGGAGGCAAAAAACTGAAGTTGTCAAAAAACCTTAAGTGAGAGTACATTGAGATTCGGAGAATGTTTAATTACTTTTTGTAAAGACATTTTTGATATGATTTTATTTTCTCCATTAATGGTGTTTTCCTTGGATGTTTGGTGTGTAAGCACATCCCCTCAAAGGTTTCCCTGTAAACTTTCAGATGCCCCATTTCTGTTTACAAATTGTATAGGCTCTAAACCTGACAGCTTTTTCCCTGGTGAACAAATATGGAGTCGGTGGTTTTGTAGTGTTACTTAAAACAAGCTCCCTGATTTGTTTTTAGTACCTTTCCAATTTCATAAACATTGAAAACTAGAATGATATAAATATGGAGATGAATGTTGAAAGATATTATTTAGTCATAGGAAAATTAGTAGTAGATGTTGGCATATGATTTTTTTAAAATTCTCTTTTCCTGGAAGTATTCAGAGCATCTTGGAATGGAGAAAATGTAAATGGAGCAAGGCTGTTGGTACCAAAAAATGTTTTTCAGTCTTCCATGAGTAGTCCTGTAATTTTTAATTTTGACAAAGCAGACTGATTATAAAACCTCATACTAGTTTGATTTTAGGGTTCTGTAGTCCTAGATGTTAAAACATTTTTTTCCTTATGAGATATTAATCTTTTAATCTTAGGTTTCTTCCTTTCATAGTTTTAATCTTGCTTTTTTTATAATCACTGAAAAGTTAGCTATAAATTACTTTAAATATTAAGAGCATATAGCTGTTGACTAAAATAGCTGTATATAGCTGTATATAGCAGTTGACCAAAATAAATTTCCTTCGGGAAGTTGCCAAATAATTCCTGTGCGTATTTCTTGCCTGATCCTGTGTATTCATACCTGCCATATCAACAGCAAGTTGGTGTGAAGACTGATACATATTTTTCTAGGAGAGTTTAAATTGTATTTATTAAAAATATGATTAATCCAGACTGATATAACATGACTTTAAGCCAACATGCATGACTTGTTTTGAGTAATTTTGTATGCATTATTAAAATTTAACTAATCACTACAAAAGATGCCATATCTCATAAACTTCTTATAACTCTAGTAGTTTTCAAACCAGTAACATACTAATTTTGGAACTGGATATAGAAGGGAAAAATAACAAGGAAGATAGTTTTCCTTGATGACCTAATTAAGCTCTCTCACTGTGAGTACAGGGAGAAATAGAATTATATAAAATAGAGTAACTTTTTCATTACTTATTTTTTGTAGGAATCTCCAACTGCCTCAAAACCCTGCTCTCCTGAAAATGAATCTTCTCCCTCTTCACCAAAGCACCAAGACCCAGTTAGTATGATAGAAACAATAGAACATAGTCCAGTTATCACAATCAGTTTCAGTAAATTATAAAATGTAATGCTTAACTGTTTCCTGGGTTCTGCTACATATCCTTTTTTTCTTTTTAAGAAAAATTACAGGGCCAGGGATTTAGCTCAGTGGCACCACGCCTGCCTCGCAAGCGCAAGGTCCTGAGTTTGATCCCCGGTACTGCAAAAAAACCAAACAAACCAAAAAACAATTAAAACAGGTTTAAAATTAAGAATCAGATTTTATTGATTTAAAATACCCCTTTTATCCAAAATGCTAAATGATTATAAACCATATTTTTAGGTGCCCACTTATCTTTGATTTTTAAAAGTAAATGTAGAAATTCCCAGAGAAGGCTATCAAATTTTACTTCAGCCTTTTTTCTCAGGGCAGCAGTGCAGAGGTAAGAGACGGGCCCCTTCCTCCTAACAAGCAGAGGCACCCTGCCCTTCCTGCGCTGCCATCTCTGTCAGGTGAAGTGGGGCTCCTGCATCTCTGCTCTGTCTCCCATAACTGAGAAATCTGCAGGCGTGGAATTGAGGGCGGATTACTGGATTTCTGTGTGGACGCTCACTCCCGCTCTTCCTACCTGCTGGCCCGTGATTGCCCTTCAGTCCTTCCCTGCTCTGTCAGAATGCAGTCTGCAGTTTAGTGAAGACAGGAAGACTGTGCGTGTGCTGGCCCCTGACCCCTGTCCTCTTCCTCTTTCTCGCTTGTTGTCCCCCTGCCTCTCTGCCCCTTTCCAGTCCCATAACTCACCCTGAACTCAGAGTCCTTGGGCGTGTTGCTTCCCTGCCCATGAGACTTCTCTCTCCTGGGTTTCTCTCTGGGTCATTCATTAGGGCTCAATTCAAATTTCCTTCCCCAGAGAATTTTATTGTGCACCTCTAGATAGTATTTAACTATGTTTTGTTGACTTCGTGAACTACTAGAGTAAGTCTTTTCATTACTTATATCCTGTAGGAACCTCCAATTCTATTTATGTCTGTCTTCCCATTACACAAAGAAAAGCCTCAAAGCAGGAAGAGTGACCCTGGTACCCACTGCAGGGCCATATAGTAGCTGCTCAGTAAACATTTGTTGAGTATTGAATAAAACTTAAAGCTTTTTAAGACAAATTTTTATCATTAATTGCCTATTTTATGACGTTACGATGTGATACACTTTATATTTCAGATTTCTTAACCAGAGGCCAAGACTTCCATAGATACTCTGACTTTTCCAACTCTCTCCATTCCCAGTCTTCTATGGGTCATATCACATGTTGTATACAGTTCCTTCTCTTTTTAAATTTTTTCTTTTTTTTTTGATACCAGGGATCGAACTGGGGTCCATTGCGCTTGCGCAGCAGGCAGCATACATTTTTTTCTTCTTAACTAGCGCTTAGTAATTGTACATATTGATGGGATACAGTGTCATGTCTCAAGCACACATTGTATAATGATAAAATTGAGAGAATTGCCGTGTCTCTGTTCTCAGGACATTTCCCTCTGACATTGGTTTAGGCAGTCTCCCCGCACAAGATGGGCCTTGAATTTTCTTTACATACAGCCAAAGTCTTGTACCTCCTTTTGTTTTCAGTACTAGAGATTGAGCCCGGGGCATTTGCACTTGGGATTTCCACTCCCAGCCCCTTGTTTTTCATTTTGAGACACAGTCTCCATCACCGAGCTGCCCAAACTGGCTTTGAACTCTCTCAGCGCTCCTGCCCCAGCCTCGCAGAGTGTGAGTCAGAGCATGTGGCTCCTTGCCAGGCAGAGCCCTGTACCTGCTCAAAACTCTTTTGGGAGGCCCTTGCCATGCTGGCCCCTGTACTAACTCTCTCTCTCTCTTATTTCTGAACTCCCACGTCTCGTGTTCCATTCAGTAAGTGCAAGTTATTTTGTGTACCCTGCCTTCCCCACTAGGTTGAAAGCCCACGAAGGAGTTTATAGTTAGGGACTGCATGTTTCTGCCTTTTATCTTTTGTATTTTTTCTTTTGAATTTTCTAACATAGTGCTGGGTCCATGAACATTAGGCAAAGACAAAAGTGAACATGATTTTAGTGGTTTTGGCAAGAATTACCATATGACTCTAAGGCACTGTTACCACAGTATTCCTAATCTGTCAGCCTGTTTAGAAAAGAAAGAAACAAAATCTTACTTTAAATATACATAGTACGCAATTCCTAGAAAACTCCTTTATAGATTGTGCACACTTTGATAAAAGGCCATTTCTGATCAACCCTAGAAAAAGGCATTTCAAAGTCTTCTGCATGCAGTTTCAAAGGACTGTTGGTGGATTATTTCCCCAGCCATTTGTCTACTTTGTGAAGTTTGACCCAGCTAGACCTGAACTGAACTCATGGTACCCTCTGATGGCCGTCATGGGGAACTGCTGCTTCTTGTACCCCACCCCCTCTTCTGTTCCTACAGATCAGGTGCCATTTCTTTCCTCCAGGAGGCGCCTCTTCTGAGCTCTCGCACCCTTCCCTGAAGGCTTTTCACTTTCCTCTTTCTGCCCAGCTTGCCTCCCCTGCCACTCTTATCCCATCACTGCAGGGAGAGATTGCCCCTTTGTTTGTGGGTTACAGGCTGGGTTTGTATAAAAGCTTAATGATGGGACAAGGAAGCTACAGATTTGGAAAGGAAAATGACTCCATAACCGTATTGGCTACCCAGTGCCACCTGACTATCTCTGAAGTTGTCCATTTACCTCTTCAGTCTCTTTTTAAAATCAAACAAAATTTAACATTCCATTTCTTAATATAAATTTTAAATGTTCGGGGCCGGAGATTTAGCTCAGTGGTTCTGCCACCTGCCTGGCAAGCTCAAGGACCTGAGTTCGAACCCTGGTACCGAAAAAAAAATTGTTCATTTTTTCTTATGCTTCATTTTCAGTTTTCAGATGGATAATTATTTTCATAGTCCTTTCAAATATTTTAAAAAATAGGCAGTGTATAGATTTCTTGAAAAATTAATTATATATTTTTCCACAAGATGACTACAGTGTGAACTGTATAGGCTTTTGTGGACTGATCTAGAAGCTATTCCTTATTTGACCTGGTGTGCCTATGAATGTATGTACTTTCAAGTTCCCATTTACTGAATGCTGAGAAACATTTTGGAGCATATAATTTGGAAACTTGAGCTTTTGACCTTGAATACTGAACCACGGTGTTAAAGTGCACCAAGCATCTTGGAGAAAAGGGCATTTCAATACTTTCTTTAACAAGATTACGAGTGGATAAATTTGCTGGTTTTCTTTTGAGAAGTACTTATTCTAAGACCTTTCTAAAAACATGATTTGCATGTCTAACTTTTTAAAGAATGCTAACCCTTCATATTGACCAATTTTGAGTCACATTAAATTTTTAAAATATTGACCACATAGTGTGAAATAAAAATTTGCCTTATTTGGGGAAATATCTTCCCCAAGCTGCATATCCAAACCTATATTATCCATCTGCCTACTTAGAACTTTTATATCAAATTTAAGATCTTTGGTGTTTAGAAGTTAAAGCTTTGTTTTCTCTGTTGCTGACATTCTCATATTTTTTTTTATGTTGTAGCATTAACTCGATACCAGATTACTTCCAAAAGATGTACTGAACACTGGCTGTGTGCTAGGTGCAGTGCCCAACATTGGTTATAACGTTGATGCACTTATAGATGTGGTCCGACATACGGCTTAATCAGTAAACCATGAATAAAGTACATATGCAGTAGTGCTTGAAGTGTCTCTCAGTCCGTTTGGGCTGCTGTGACAAACATATCATAAGCTAGGTAGCTTATAAGCAGTAGAGGTGTACTTCTCACAGACCTAGAGGCTGAAGTCCGTCACAGCACTGGTAGACTTGCTGTCTGCCGAGGGCCCACTTCTTGGTGTGTCCTCACTTGGCAGAAAGGACAAAGGCAGTAAAGCCAACCAGGAAGGACCCAGTTTCACGCCCTCCATCACCCCCAAGTACTTCACCTGTGGATTAGGTTTCAGTGTATAGGAATTTGGGGGACATAAGCAGTCAGTGTATGGTAGAGTGTAATGAAGGAATCACTGGGGCAGTAGGAAATAATGACGGGTTAATTACTACTTTTAAGAGAAGGGGAGGAGCTCCTACTTAGGAATGATCAAAGAAACCAAGAGTGCTCCATCTACCCAGTTGAGCAAGGTTTGCACTTAAGCCCCAGTCCTCCCGTTTCCCTGACACCCATCCTCGTCAGCTTTGCCTCTCGGGTTTGGCCTCTCTCCTCTCTGTCTCTGCTCTAGTCCAGGCCTTCCTTACTTCCTACACTAACTACAGGATCAGTATTCCAGTTGGTTCCCAGTCGTGCTGCCCTTTCTTACTTCATTCTCTCCAGTGTCTCACTTCTTGCCACTTCTCTTCCTGACCCTGTACTTTGAGGAAAATCAAAGGCCCTGCAGAGATGATAGCCTTCTTGCCTCGTCCCTTTCTACTGTGTGTTATTTTCAACTGCTGTTTCCACCTTGCTAACTCCTCCTTCGCTCCAGGAAGCTGTCTGAGATTGTCTTCTTTCTTTCCCAGGTTGAGTTAGGTATACATTTCCCTCCCTCCCTCCCTCCTTCCCCCCCTCCTTCCCCCCCTCCTTCCCCCCTCCTTCCCTCCTTCTTCCCTCCTTCCTTCCTTCCTTCCTTCCTCCCATCCATCCATCCACCTTTTTTTCTCTCTTTCTTGAGCTTGCCAGGCAGGCACTGTGCTGCTGAGCTACATCCCTGGCCCAGTTACACATTTCTTACAGCATTTAACACATTGTGTGGTAATTGGTTTTTGTATTTCTAATACATTTGGCTGTGGCACACTTTGTTCTTGTTAATGTTCACGTTAGAGTGCTTAATACTTACAGCGTTCGTACTTGGGTCTGACCCCTGTCAGAATCGGGTGAGGGTTGTGGACTCTATGAACAGTGCTTAGCATGCACAGTATTGCACCACTTTCAGTTCATCCATTGGCACAGGTAAGTGCCCCTGCTTTAGATGGCCTCCTACCCTGAGGCTTAGGCCAGCGCTGCTGTGGCTCCATGCGTTCTTCCTGTTTGGATGCGTGTATTTCCTTCCTGCCTCTGGTGCTGTCACATAATTTCAGCTGCAGCATTTTTTAATGGCTTTAATTCTCACCTCTCCACCCTTCCAGTTCCAGTTCATAAAACCAGTGTCCATCCACTCTGATTAATGGGTTTCTTAGTTTCTGTAGTTAAAGACTTCTCCCTCTGCTTTGGAGGAGGAGGGGCAGTTGGTTGAGAATGTTCTTATTAAACATCTTGTCCATACTTGCAATTGGGTAATGATGTTTTTGCGGTTCTTATGAAAAGTATAAAACTTGAGTAAGGATCATAAAGCTGTTCTTTCTGAAAGAAATAGAGTAAAAGTACACATATTTCCAAATACGCTAGCAAAATTTTGAGTTAATTAACAATTTTCAGCTTTGTCTATAAATAATGAGTTTTTATCAAAGTAGGCAAATTTTCAGACATTATCTTTTAGACATTATTGAGAAAATACTCGGTATTGTGTTTATCTCCCATATAAAATGTGTATTTTCTGGTTAAGGTACATTGAGAAAATATGGCCAAACAATCAGCTAAATATTCCAAAGTAAATTCTGAACTGAGAATAGTTTTATCTGTGAATATGTGTTTGTGTACATTTCAGTTGAGTTAAAAATCGACTGTCATGCACAAATAGTGCTTGGGGAGGTGACAGTTACCATAGGCACCAACCCCTTGTGATTAAATTCCTTTGACTCTTAAGAAGCCAAAGCCGTGAGAAAGTGCTTGTCATTATCTAGAAAGAATCAAATAACAGTACAATGGCTTTGTCATCATAGAGCCTGATGATAAAACTTGCCTCACAGTTTGTTTTATTTTACATCAATAGGCTAATCTAGTTGGAGGTTTTGGTTTGTGTTTTTTTGAGATAGGATCTCACTGTGTGGCCCAGGCTGGCTTCAAACTAATCGTGATCCTCCTGCCTCTGCCTCCCAAGTGCTGGGATCGCAGGCCTGCTAATCTAGTGTTTTTCAAAGCCTAGCTCCCCTTGTAATATGTTCAGTGAAGCACATACTAAGATTTTTTTTATTATTATTATCAGAACTTTTATTTCTTTCCAACTTGATACCTTTATCTTGGATTTTTTTTTTTGGTATGGGGGATCGAACGCAGGTCCTTGCCCTTGTGAGGCCGGGGCAGTGCCACTGAGCTAAATCCCCAGCCCCATATTAAGATTTTTGTATCACAGTAAAGCCAGTTCTATGCAATGTTCCAGTTACTTTTGATTAAGTTTTTAAATAATCACTATTTTGCCTAGTTTTACATTCTGCCAAAGTGGATTAGTATATTGATTGTCATTTTTCAGATTGCCATTTTTTGTGTGATTTTTATCACTATAGCATTTATCACTTTCCTTGAACAGGAAGACGGAAATCATTTTTCTGGTGCTGACTTGTTCCTTTGAAAATCTTAACTTGGTAGCAAGGGTACCTACTGGCTGCTGGGATGTAGGAGGAGGAGAAAGTGTTTAATTATAAAATTATTGAATGTAACTTTACAAAAGTATTAGGCAAATTGTATTCTTAATGTCTTTTAGAACTAAGTTTATCACACACTAATCTTTTCTTAAGCTAATTTTTATTCTGCCAGAATATTTTGGTTCAGTTGTATATTAGGATGCAGACATCATTGTTTATGTGAACAATTTATAAGCAGAGTTACTCTGTTCCATAGGGTCAAGAGAAGTATGGATTGTTAAATGTAACAAAAATTACTGAAAATGGGAAGAAGGTCCGGTAAGTACAAATCTTTAATGTTCTTACACAATTCATCTGATTGAAATGAATAAAACATTTTATAAATACAATTATATTCTAGGACAAGTGATTAAAAAAGAATTTCAGATGTATTTTCTAGTCCTGTAACGTATGTAAGATTGTCATGAAATGGATGAAACATTTCCTTTGAACTTGAAATAGTTCTTAAATAATATTAAATTCAAAATATTAAGGTAGAGGATTTTGAGGAAGCACTCACTTTCTTTTTTTTTTTTTTTTTTTTTTACTCTCTTTTAATACTTATTTTTCAATAAGCAATAAGTGTACGTGGTAAATGCACATGGTAAAGGTTATTACTGTGTGAAAAGTCAGTTACCTGGCTGTCAGTTCCTTTCTGCAGAGGCAACTAGTTTTGTTTTGATTTGATTCTTGGTTTTTTTGAGACAGGGTCTTGCTATTCAGGAGGAAAATTTTAACAGCCTTTTCAGATAACTGTGCATGTTTTTCTGCCATGCCAAAACTCTACAAATGGTAGTTTTTTAAAGAATAGTTGCTGTGAAAACTGAAAATCTACCAACATTTCGTACTGAGTTAAAAGCCATTAGCCTTTGTTGCACTTGAACAGATCTTCAGCCATGCATAATTTAATAGTGTACTACAGGTCATTTGGAAGTACCGGGTCATTGGGTTGGCTCATTTTTTCCCAGTATTTTACATACTTTATTTTATTCTATCAAAGAATCACAAATTAGTGATATCAGAAAAGTCAGTAAGTGTTGGGAAATTATCAAACTCAAGAGGCAGTTGACATGTTCTCTAAAATTCTATTTGAAAGATTTAATTTTTTTGTGGAAGAAACTAGTTGTATGGTTTTTCTTATTTTGAAAATTGAGAGTTCTTTAAAAAATGAAAGTATGCTAATTTAAGAATTTTTTAATTATAGGGAATCACTGGATGGTAACTAAGAAATAGAAGGCTAAGAGTATAAAATAAATTTACAGATAAAAATAAGTCATTCCAGAATATCTTGAGATCCACACACCCAAAAATAACAAAATGGTAGTAAAATAAACATCAAATATGTCCATCATATTAGGATCAGTAAGCACAAAAGGTCTATACTCATCTTTTGAAACAGAGCTGCCCAGATTGAAACATACAGCAAAACCCACTTACTTCTGTATAGTCAAAAGAATCAGCTAAAATTGATTTAGGAATTTTTTTTTTCAAACCCACAAGTCCACTTCAAGATCTAAAAAGTAAAGCAAAAATAGGGATCTTAACAGCAGGTAGAGTGTAAAGTAGCCCAGCCCCCCCCCCCCCCCCCGCAAAAAAAGCATCGAAAATATGGATATTGTAATAAATTGCAGAGTTGTTCTGAAATTTAAAACCTCCTTTGGAGTGCCTGTGCAGGTTTCACAAACTGGCTGTTTGTTTATAAAGGAAGCTTTAATAAGTTCCTACAATAGATACATTTTATTCTCCCAGCAACTGAGTTCCATTTTAAGATAATGTTGTTCTTTGCAAACACTGATCTATTCCTTCCATTTGAAAAGTACTTTGCTGGGTTTGAGGTAGATAAAAAAATAAATGAAAGTGTTCCTGCCTTTAAATAACTTACAATTCCCTCAGGAGAGAAACATTGATGCAAAATCCCTAATACAGAATTGAAGACAGTGAAGGGAGAAGTTGAGTGGAGCCTGGCCGGGTGTAACACGATCACAGAGTTCTCAGGACACTGGTAGTGACTTTTCAGTGTGAGTCTTACTCTGTGTCTGGCGTAGGACAGTACACACGTGCACAGCCTGACCTTTAACAGCTCCATGTGCACCATACTCTTAACTCGGTAACTTCTGGAGTATGGGATGAAGGGGAAAAGATGGAAGCTATTTCCTTTACATATTTCTCTAGTCAGTGTTTTTTCATGTCTGTATTGCTTTTGTAATTTAGGAATTAAAAACCCTCATCTTAGTAATAGTAACTCCAGTGGTCAATCAGTATGTGATTTATTGTATACTTACAGTGTGTCTAGTATCTACTGCCTGTCTAGGGTAGTCCTGTTAGGGAAAGGGGAATAACCTAGAAATGTAAAATAGTCTGTGTCTGTGAAGAAATGAGTGAGTGAAGTAAACAGGTCTAATTTTAGATTGTAGATAAGATTTCTTATTAAGTGTGATGTTCCATTTGTGTGACTTTAAAATCGTGTCCTTGATCACAATGCACTTAGATTAGTTCCATGTAAAACTAATTAGGTGTTTTGGTCATGGTTATTCTGAACATTTATATTTCTGATTAACTCCGTTTGTTTTGGAACCTTTGTGATCAGGTTAGGGCCAATTCCATTAGCAACATATCCCCAATAAGATAGGCGGAATGTCAGTAATAACCTAAAGTGTAGATAACGCTGATAACAGCTAAGTAGGCTTTGATATATACAATTTGGTGAGAAGAACTGGATAATACACTTTAATTGGTCATCTTTATAATTGCAGAAAGAGCTGGCTGTCTTCCTGGGCAGTGTTGCAGGGCTCGTCTTTACTTTTTACTAAAACTCAAGGAAGCAGTACAAGTTGGGTAAGTATTTCTTATTTTTAAAGGCTTTGTACACTTAAATTATGTGGATAGTTTTATTCCTGAATTTCAGGAAGTTGTTTTGAGAGTCCTAGTTTCAGCATGCGTGCGTGTAAAAATAAATGACGTTTTCTTGAAAGAGCAAGAAGAGGACTAATTAGTAAAGTCTAATTAGTTGTATTATTAAAATCAACCGACTGTTTTATCCTTTGAACTGAATGCTAGGCTCTCTACACAGGCATTATAAAGCAGAGACGTTTCTTGGTTCATTCTCAGAATGTCAGGTGTTCTGTGCTATGACTCTTAACTTCAGGTAGATACTCAGTGGGAGGGTAAGCAGAGGCAGGTAGGCTCTGCCTTGCGTGATGTGACCCTGCACTAGCCAGCGACTCAGGGTCACTGAGGACACCCAGCCAGCTCTTAGAAGAGAAGAGTCGCCATCCCCTGTGGCATTTTGATGGTTTTTATATATTTGACTGCTTACTGTTTGTTACTCTTCGGTTACTTGTAATATAAATCCTAGCAGTTATAATTTGTGACGTACAATTGCTAATATTTTTTGATTGTTCAGTAAGTATCAGCTATTGTTCTGAGTGCAGAGGTTTGTGAATATCTTCCTGACTCTTGAGTGAGTTCCATTTTTAAAAAAACATTTATTGGTATATTTTATTGTTTTGTCTTGTTTTGTTTGGTACCGGGGATCAAACTCAGGACCTTGTGCTTGCCAGGCAGGTGTGGTGCCACCGAGCTACATCCCCGGCCCCTCCTTTTATCATAGATGAGAAAATGAGGTATTAAACAGCCTAAGAAGACAAACAAAAAACCAGTCTAAAGCCTTACACTTAAGCAGCAGATCTGGTTTTAAAACTATGCCATTTTGGCCAGAGTTTATGCTCTTAAATATTTCTGAAAATTTTCAGTAATGAGTTTGAAGTGTCAGTGTTCAAGTAAAATTTAAAATGAAATTATTCTAGGACCGGGGACATAGCTCAGTGGCCTTGCACCTGCCTGGCAAGCACAAGGTCCTGAGTTTGATCCCCAGTACCGCCCCCCCCCCCCCCCCGCAAAAAGAAATTATTCTAAATGTGTTTGGTGTGCTTCATATTCTTCATTATCCAACATTTTCTTACAGTTACTGAGTTGCTATAAAATTAACGTAGGACCTGTAAGTTTGATGAAAGAGAAATCCATTTATAAAACACAAGCAAATTTTAGTCATGTAAATTTATAACATAGCCTTGTGACATTGTTCAGAACCACAAATGCCACACAGCCTGTTTAGTTCCCAGCTACTCCGATAAGGCAAACTGCAATTCCATATGAACGTTCTAGAATATTTCTGTCTTGTTTCTAATTCTTTGATTTGCTCCCTATAGCCAATGCAGAGGAAATGACCTGCAATACACTTTCATGTTATAAGATGGGAATTTTTATTTTACTTAAAGTATTTTGATAATTATGTCTTTCTCCTTTTCCCTCTGAGGTAAAGTGTATGGTGCTTTTTTGTGTATGTACGTGTTAATGCATTTCTAAAGTGCCATTTAATTATTTTTCTTTCTACTTGTGGCTCAAATTTTATTTGAAATTGAGCAAAGAAAATGGATGAAAGAAAAGTGATGGAGAACCAATTAGAGATTAATAAGTAATATTAAAGTACCTAAAGCAAGCCATATTATGATCATTTGCTTGATAATTACCAATACTTAGAGATTAAAGATTATGGTATATAAGATAAAGCAAATGGATACAGCATTGTGGTAAGTGAAGCTTCATTTAGATAGGTGGGTTTGTGTGTGATTTAGACAGAATGAAAACTTGCTTTTAAATTTGAAGATTTCAAGTGAATACTCTGGCCCGTACTCATTAGTACAGGATGGTTGCATTTTATTTCAAGTTTTCCTCTAGAACTCCTCACATAATTCAGAACTCATAAAGTGTATTAATGCTGACAGAGGGAGGGTGCAGGATTTCTGCATCACGTAAAGTTATGTTATTGTGTTACCATGTAGGAATGGCAAAACATAATTTAAAATTTACAGCGTTGAGATTGTAGAATTCTTTTTTTGTTTTGTTTTGAGAGGTCACACTTTGCTTTTTTTTTATTTTTTATTTTTTTAAATTAAATTCTTTATTGGTACATTGTAGGTATACAACACAATTACATTTCTCATTGGGAATTGTACCTTTACGTAATGCATCTTGGTTCTTATTTTTTTCCCCATTCCTAGCCCTCCTGTCACCCCCTCCACCCTTCCCTATTTACAAAGACTTTATTTCCATTTTTTCCATTTCTCATCATTTTTCCTTTCCCTGACAAGGTCACACTTTGTAGTTCAGGCTTGCCTTGAACTCACAGCAACCCTCCTGATTCAGCCTCTTAAATGCTGAGATTACAGGCTTGCACTACACCCAACTTTCAATTCTTAATTTTTATGTTTTGACTTTTTTTTTTTTTTTTTTTGAGACAGGGTTTCACTATGTAGTTCAGGCTGGCCTTGAACTTACTGTGTAGGCTGGTCTTAAACTTGTGGTGGTCCTCCTGCCTCAGCCTGAGTGCTGAGTTTACAGGCACATGCCACCATGTCCAGCTGTGGCTAATTTTTAAACCTCAGACTCATTCCCACATATTAAGGGAATAAAAAATTTAAATGACTAAAGCTAAAAGCAAGTAATACTACTTAAGTAAAAAGTATGTGAGTGTATATTTTGTTAAGTACTATTTCAGGAGTATCAAAAATTGGTGAAGATGCAAGATCTTCCTAACTGGCCCGTGTTGGTAATCCCAGAGTTCTGGAGAGCTGAGGCAGGAGGATCTAAAATTCAAGCCCAGCCTGGGCAGTTTAGCGAGACTTTGTCTCAAAACTGCAAAAGGGCTGGGGACGTAGAGCACCGCAGAGGCCTGGGTTCAGCCCACACTGTGCTCCCCGCCCCCAGGGGTCAGAAGGATTAGAAGGAGTTCTAGTTTGTCTCTGCACTCGTCTGGGTCTGTTGGAGGTAAAGGATATCCGGTTTTCCTGGTGCAGCCACATGTTACTGGAGGATGAAGGTGTAAGGCTGTGTAAATGCTTGAAGGACAGAACTGCCAGGCGCTGTTTTGAAGCTGGTCTTTCTCAGAGGCAGTGTTTTCCTTTGGTGTCCTTCAGCTCAGTTTAGTTGCTTAGTTGTTAAGGGACCACATTGTAAGAGAAGTACAGTTCTTTAAAAATTAGATTCAGACTTGGTGTGAAAACCTGAGAGGTCCACTTGAGTAGGTTAAATCTCATATGCACTCAAGGCTCATGCTCAGTGGTGGGAAGCTGAGCACAATCGCCCACACCAGTCCAACTGCATAGGTTTAGATCATTCATGTTTCTGGTTATTTATGCAGAGACTGAGTAGATGAAATACATGTATGCTGCCTGCAGCCCCACTTTACAAGATCGTGTCAACCAAAACTCGAGTGACCTGTCCTTCTCCAGAATAGTTTTCTGGAAAGTCCTAATAATGTTTTGGATTATTATATCAGTAAAATAAATTTAACAAGCCTTGCCTTCTCTTCCCCTCTCCCCTCCTCTCCTCTCCTCTCCTCTCCTCTCCTCTCCTCATTTCACCTCAGAAATGTATGCGTGTTTGTTTGTTCAATCAACATAAAGCCTGCAGGGTGCTGGGCATTTGGATAATTTGGTGAGCTTGGGAATTTGGAAGTAAATAACACGGGCCCTGTCTTCAGTGCTTCTGTGTAGTGAGGAGGACTGGCAGGTGAACAGTCACACTGTGATAAGTGCTCGCCCGTATCCTTTGAGTACTAAAAATCACCCTCCAAACACCAGTAATTATTCACACATTCCTACATGCTTTCAGGTATCTAAAAATTACCTTTTGGGGCCAGATAATTCTTTTTTGTGGATATATCGGGAGGCTGCCGTGTGCACTCTGGGTGTTTAGCAGATGACCAGCAGCTGCCCCTCTGCTGAGAGAACTAGACATTGTTGGATGCCCCCTGGAGGACAGAATGAGGCAGGCAGCTTAGACGGGGAGGCCCCTCCCCAGCAGTGATTGGAAGTGTACCAGAGGACCTTCCCAGCAGGCCAGTGAGGTGGCCCAGTCCTTTCTGTTACCCCGAAGTATTCTTTTGTGAATGTAGCTGGGACAGGTCTATTTTAAGGCAAGTTCTGTAAAGCATGCATCTTAAAAATAAAGCACAAATATATGTAATAACAAATTTAGAAAAATCTCTCAGATAAATTCTAGGGCTTTTACAAGAGTATTTTGGAAGCACAGCTTTGCTTGTGTTGTGTCCGCTGATGGAATTACACTCGTGTCCTGTCTGGTTCCACTGTGCCTTTTTCTCTTGTGTGCCACTTTGCCATTGTGCATCTTTATGACTTCATTTTCTTCCCTTTTCCTATCAAGTCATTCTGCCAACAGGGCTCAGTCTCTGAGTTCTTGCTTTCGCTGCTTTCTCCTTGGAAAAACTGTCAGTCGTCGGCCTGCTGTTGCATATGTTAAGTCTGACACAGTTCCAGCTGTTACTGTATGTGTTCTTGTTGTATACTTCTTGCCACAATACTTTGTTTTTTTTGTTATGATTACATTGGCAGGGAAGTAATTACAGTAAAGTGGACTAGATTTTTGAAAAGAATAAATAGACAAAAGTTGATGCCAACGATATTGATCACATTTTTCTAGCATTCTGTTTCACGTTATATTTATATTTAACTGGTTGGTTGGTTGTGTCTTATATAATTAACCATCTGAACAGTATATAATGACAAGAAATAAATTTTTGCTATGTTTTTAAAATGTATTCAGACTTTATTATTTTCGAAGTGTATCATTTCTGCTCAGGAAGTTATCTGTGCCTATCATATAAATTTATGATTATTTGAATATTTCTGCATGACAGAAGTACTTAAAATGGCAAAGAATTTGTAGGAAATGGTGAAAATTTTATTGTCATTTTTAATATAATTCCATTAATAAAGTCCATATCACTCCTAAATTTTGTTGTGAGAAGTGTTCTAAGTCCACACCTCTAGCTAAACGGATGCAAAAGCAGCAGTTGAAATCTAACCATATCTTACATGTGAAGCTGCTAAGTAGAATTACTGAATTATAAATAGTGAATAGGTTACTGCAAAGTACAGTTTGACTATGTTGTCACTGTTTTAGCAAATGAAATTTATAAGAAATATTTATAACTTTAAGAAATACTTATATAAGAAATGTTTGTAACTTTATGACCTTTAGATTATAATTAAATAGCCTTTAAAAGTTTTAAAACATCCAAACCTTTCAGTACCATAGGAATGCTATTTTGTATTCATAACAGACTAACAGAAATTTAAGTTAATGATGGCCAAATGCAGATAAGTCTATATTTAATGTACATTATCTGTTTGCTGATCTTCTCCTTACTGCTTAACACAGTATAATAAATAAGTGCATTTTTTCCTCAGTCACCTCTGTCAGAGCTGTCTTCCCCCGTTTCCACGGTTAGCATCTGGCTTTAGTTAACAATTTCTAACAAGGGCTGAAAAAAAGATGAGGCTTAGGGTTTTCTGTTTTTACAAGTTAGTCGTTGACAGCATAAATAACTGATAAGGGAATAACTCTTGAAAGCACAACATTAGAATTAGAAAATGTTTATTAGGTGGAAAATGTACTTAATTATCTGCCTGATATTATTTATACATGTTTAGGACTATTGCCTTGCCTTTTTTTTTTTTTTTTTGGTACCAGGGATTGAACTCACATCCTTGCGCTTGCAGGGCAGGCAGTGGAACCACTGAGCTAAATCCTCAGCCCTGCCTTTCCTTTTTGACCATGTTATGCTTACATAGCCATATATAGTTAGGATAAATTAAAAGAAATAGAACTGCTAAGCCAACAGATCCATGTATCTGCCAATTTGCAAATAATAGTGTTGTCAGTTCTCCCTCCCTAGGAGTTATTACAGTTTATATTCCACTTGCAAATGAGGGCCTATCAGTTTATAGCCTTCCCTGCATAATTACGGAGTTTTCCACTCTGATGAGTGAAAAAACAGATGTCAGTGTGGCCATACATAGAAATGGAGCCATTTTTATTTTTCATAAACCATACATTTATACTTCTAGACATTTTTCAGGGTTTTTGTTGTTTTAATTTTTTTATTGTTTGGTACTGGGGATTGAACTTGGGACCTTGCGCTTGCAAGGCAGGCGGCAGAACCACTGAGCTAAATCCCCAGTCCTATATTTTTCAGTTTTAAAGTAGTGGTTATTTCATATTACAAAAAGAGGATAATTCAAGATAATCTATTTGATTTATTATTAACGATATAAATACTAATTCTTTCTAAATATGTATGTGCGAATATCACATAAAGGCTTTTCCTTTGTCCTAAAATGAAGTTTGGGAGTAATCAGTCCAAGCCAGAGTTCACAGTGGACCTCAAAGGGGCAGCAATCGAGATGGCCTCAAAGGACAAATCCAGCAAGAAGAATGTATTTGAGGTAATAATTGTTTTCTAAGTATAGCTCACATTCTTGACCACAGTAATTGGATACTCTCTAAGGAGTGGTCTTTCATTTGCCTTATAGTTAAGGCAAAATTGGTGACTAAGTCAATTTGTGCCATAACGTAATGGGGGAAAGGCGGGATAAAAATCAGCTTCATTTGCAGAAGTAACCAGAACTGAGACTGTATATTACAAGCTTTTGTTTCATAAATCCCACCTTTCCCCTGCAACAGTGAAAATGATGTGGTTTCCTATACCTAACAAGTCTAATGTTAGAAACTAAATGAAGGATAATACTGATACCGGGAGGGTACGTGTATGGGGCCAGGTATATACACAATATCTTGTATACTCTCTCAGTTTAAAACATGAAATCTTAAAAAAAAATCAGAACCTTTGTACTTTGTCATTCAAAACTCTCCACAGTAATATACGATCCTGTATCATTCATTATTATGGTATGTAACAGACCACTTTGAGACCTAGCAGCTTAGCGAAAGTGCTGTTGCTTTCTTCCTTTGGGCTGAGGTGCATTCCACTTCGGTTCTCACTTGGGACCATTCATGAGGTGTAAGGGAAGGGGCTGGGCGAAGCTCAGGTACCTTGTTGACGTGGTGATGTTGGTGCTGGCTGATGGCTTGGCCCCTTTCTCTGTAACCTCTCCATTCTTGAGGAAGCTGCCGATGCTACTTCACACAGCAGTGGCAGGCTGCCGGGAGCATGAGAGTTGAATACCACAGGCTTCTCAAAGCCAGGATTTGTAGTCACAAATCACTTTTGGTGTATTCTATGAGGTAGAACAGTTCAGAAAGCCAGCCAAGTATTTATGGTTATGGGGAAATAGAAGTCTGCTTGTTGGCAGAGCAGCAGCACATCCATCGCAGGGGAAGTCATACACAGACCGGAGGGATCTTTGAGGCTGCCTTGTGTCTTCCAGACACCAGCCTCCCTTCGCAGCCTCCTGTCTTGCTGTCTAGGCAGATGGGGTTAATTGCTATTCCCCAAGTAGAACCATGTGACTACGACTCTTTTCTCTCCCTTTGCCGTAAGCACCAGCTCATGCTAGTCTAAGTTCCTCTAACAAAGATTAGTGTGCACTGAACATTGGGTGTTGGTTGTTAGGCTTTACCAGCTCTTTAGAAGGGTGCATGAAAGGAAGCCAGTGTTTCCTTATTTAGCTTTGCAGCCTCACTAGGTGATCGCAGAATGAAAGGATTCCATGATCAGATAGATGTGGGAAATGGTACATATTTCATCCTTATCTTAGAAAATCACAGTGCACCCTAGAATATCAAAGGCCTGAGAAATTTTGGAGAACATCTTGTTAGATGTCATTCCAGTATTTTCCAAAATGTTTTTACATAATTTTTCAAATTTATTTATTTTTTGTTTGGGTACTGGGGATTGAACTCGGGACCTTGCGCTTGCAAGGCAGGCACCGGAACCACTGAGCTAAATCCCCGACCCCTCAAATTTATTTTTTGAGGGGAACCTTTTTTTCATTTAAAACTTTATACAATTTTTTATTGGTAAGTGTTGGCAATACATAATGAATGTGTCCTCCAAGGGCTTTGGTACGTACATGGATCGCACCTTAGTTCTTTTTAGGTCCCTTTCCCTTTTCCTCCTTTCCTTCACCTCCATCCTTAGGTCCCCTTTCTCTCTGCAAAAGTTCTGTCTCCCTGTTTCCTATCATCTTTTATTTTGTTCTTTAAATCCTTTATACTTTAGGTTTCTCTTACAAAGAAATCACGCACTATTTAACCCCCTGTGTCTGATTTATTTTCCTTACCATTATGGTCTCAAGGTGCATCCATTTTCCTACATAGGACTCAAATCCATCCTTCTTTATGGCTAATTAGTACTCCATTGTATACATCACATTCCCTTTATCCATTCATCTGTTGATAGACATATGGACAGTTTCCAAGATTTAGCTGTTGTGAGTTGTGCTGCTATAAACATGAATATGCATATATACAGTAATATGATGTGTTTAACTCTTTTGAAAAGATATCCAGAAGGGGTATGGCTAGGTCAAATGCATTTCTATTTTTAGTTTTTTGAGGACTCTCCATACCGATTTTCACAGTGGTTGTACTAGTTTATATTCCTACCAGCAATGTAGAAACATTCCTTTTTCCCTACAACATCACTGGCATTTCTTCTTTTTTGAGTAGACGATGATAGCCATTCTTTTAGGAAGGCTGTTCTTCAACATTATTTGGGGAACTATGGGTGAGGAATATGCTTGAAATGTTGTTTGCGAAACATTACCATATGTTCTTCTAGGAAAAACAAATTCAGTTATCAACCAGAGAATATAAGGAATACTTTCCATAACTGCCTCAAAATTCTTCTTCAGTGAAGTATAAGAAATTTCACCCAGAGAGGTTATACATGAATTATTGTCTTTAATTCATGATTTGACAATTTAGTAATAGTTCTGCCCAAAAGGGATATGATATTTGTTGTTCATTCCTTGTTTCTGTACTCAACCAGTGTTTTGCTCTGTAGTAGGAAATACTAAAAATCTACCCCTAGTCTTTTTTTCATATTTATTTTTATAACCAAATAGATAGGTTCTCAGGTTATGTAAACATATTTCTTTATATTTCAATTTTATTTTTAAGTGCTTTGGTACTTATTTGATATAGCCTTACTTATTTTCAAATAAATTATACCGTGTTTTGTGGAATTTGTAAGCTGGAGATTGGGATCCTAAATTACTAGATGCTCATTAAGATTTTATTACGAAAAATAACCTCATGCTTTATAAAATAGCTAGACTGGTATTATTTCATACTGTAAGATGCTCCATAGCTGTACAGTCCTATAGTGCATGACACTTAACCACTGCCAGCGTGGTAAACTTGGAGTTGAATGTGTTCAGCTGTTTGGTGAGGCACTGTGCTGACTGTGCGCTCTTCCCTCCCCGCAGCTGAGAACTCGCCAGGGCACAGAACTGCTAATTCAGTCTGATAATGATGCCATCATTAGTGATTGGTTTAAAGTTCTTAGCAGTACCATCAGTAACCAGGTATGTGTTTACTCGGTAAAATTTGTATTGCAGAACTTTTTCTAATTGCTTATTGCACATTTAGATTTTAATTTGCGTCATAAAAGGCACTTTATACCTGTGTTTTGACAAAGGTAGGAAAGACAGCCACTTTAGTCCAATCCACAGGGCTGGTGATGGAAAAGATTTGACATTCTCACTTGTTTGATGCCAGTGGATTTGAAATCATATTTATTACATTAGGCATTGGTCAGGAAAGACATGGTTCCACAAGGAGGGACAAACAGCTCCTTGTACCTAATGTGTGCTCAGTGACTGAATGAGCTACAAGTAGCACTCTGGTGGAAGAGTTCTAGGCAAACTTGTGGAATGGTGCAGCTGTGGTTGCCTTTTCTTTTCTAATGTCCTTCTCCAGTTTTTCTACACCTTGCCCCTGGGAGTGTGTTCAGTGCCCTTCTGTTCCTGATAAATTTCTTATTTACATAACAGCCAACAGGAACCTCACATTAGATTTTGAATCTGCCGGGGAGGACGGTAGTGAGCACCGGGGCTGGACATTTTTAGACTTTCTAGTCTCACTTTTCGCCGTGGCTCCTCACGGAGGGTCTCATATCAGTGACAGAGGTGACAGATGGTATTAATGGAAAGCAGAGGGAACCTTTACCTCTCCTAGCAGTTAGCTATGCAGCTGCATATAAATAAATACAGTCTTTAGAGTTTGTGATATTATATATTTCTGAATCTTGTTCCTTTCCATTTATTCCTGAAACCATGGACACACCTTTCTATCTTTATACCACAGTAAGAATAACTTCCAGTTTTCTTCAATATCTTCCCTCATCAATCCATTCTTAATGTCATTGTTATGTGAATCTTCATAATGTCAACTTCTCTTTAGAGACCTGTGACTCCCATTAAAATTCAGCAATCTAACTACAGTTTAATCTAACTTCAGTGGTACCTCAGTTCATGAACTTAATTCTTTGCATGATTTTAGCCACAAACCGAATTGGTCTCAAATCAAATCAGATTGCCCCATAAGGTCAACATTGACCCTGACCATTGAATTTGACTTGGTTTGCAACTAGAATCATGGAAAGAAGTAAGTTTGTGAACTGAGGTATCACTGTATTCAGCTATACCTTCTACTATCCCAGTGTGGGTTTCCAGTAATCTGTTCACTGTCCTGAACGTGCATGCATTCCTTCACCAGAATGTAAGTGCCTTGTGCCCTGGGCAAGTAGCAGGCAGACCCCACATGTATTTCTGTGGAGGTTACAGAGATGAGTCAAAGATGAGAATGAGACAGATGACTGAACAGTTAATGTGCCAGTCATAATGAGTGCTGGATGTGAGGGCACACAGCATAATCTAAAAGCACTGATCAAAGACCAACCTAGTGCAGGGGTCAGGGAGGCCTTGCAGGGAAAGTGCTGTTGTGTTTTTGGCTTTTTTTGGTACTGGGGATTGAACTCGGGACCTTGGGCTTTCGAGGCCGGTTGCGGAACCACTGAGCTAAATCCCCAGCCATGCTGTTATATTTTTTAATTGAGGCCTACAGGATTAAGAAGCCAAGAAAAGAGAAGAGTATATTATTGACTGTGAAATTGTAAAATGCATACTCTTTGCAAAATGTCAAAAGATACTAAAGATTGTATGTAGCAAGAGATATGCAGCACTTCTCAAGGAAAATTATGAAACTTTATTGAGAGAATTGAAGAAAAACCTAATTAAATGAGAAGTATATAGCGTTCATGAACTAAAAGATTCAATTATGAAGATATAATTTTCTTCCAAGTGATTTGTAAACTTAAAATCCTAGCTTTTCTGGTGGAACTTGACAAGCTTATCTAAATCCATATAGAGATCCAAAGGGCTAAGATACACCCAAGAAGACTCTTGAAGAAAGTAGAAGGGACTTGTATCCTATATCACACCGTATAAAGCTGTTATTAATTAATGCATTGTGATATCCATGCAGGGATAGACACACACCTGTGGAACAGAATAAAGAATCTAGAAGCAGACCCACGTAGATATGGACATTTTATGTCAGATAAAGCACTGTGGAACAGCAAGGAAGAATAGCTTTCTAGAAAATGGTGCTGATACAACTGGATATCCAAGAAGAAATGGGAATCTGTCGTTATACCATACACCCTCAAAAGATTTCAATAAGGACCTTCATATGAAAGACAAAAGAAAGTTTTTAGCTTTCAGAATTCATTCCAAAAACAGACAAAAATTCAGTCCAGTTTTTAACCTCTAAAATTACCTTGATTAGAATAGGATGAATTCTAGGATTTATTCCACTTCGTAATGTCTGTGCATCTGAGAGTCTTACACTCTTATCACAGTGTAATACTATTGTTTTGGGATTTTTTTGGTACCAGGGATCAAACTCGGGTCCTTGTGCTTGCGCAGTAGGCGGTGAAACCACTGAGCTAAATCCCCGGCCCCTATTGTTTTTATATTGTGGTAGATAATATGGTTGTCACATCCATAAATCTTATCCATTGTCACAGAATGTAGCTGTATTATGTTTCATCACCTTGGATTTAGCTGGACCTTCTAAGTGTTATTAGTGCTACCCGTGCAGTGGATCAGATGAGATATGATAGTCTCACTGTCAGTTTAAACTATTACCCTGTGAGTTATCAGCAATATTTTCTTTTTGGAGATCAAAATTAATGCCATCAAGGGAGAAGATACGTTTAAAGATTTATCAAATATCTAAATCATACACCCTGTATACTAACTGGTTTCCTAGATAAAAATTACTGGTTGTTCTGAAAATTATGCTATCACAACTAAAGTAATATAGGAAGTAATGTGTGTTTGGGAAACCTCTAACCAATAGGCAGTAGAAACTGATGAAGCAATGGAAGAGGAGATACCAGATTCACCAGGAATAGAAAAGCAGGATAAAGAAAAGGACCAGAAGGATCTTAAAAAACTTCGTTGTAAGTTGTTCTTTCCTTATGTTGCTAATGAATTTATTCTTAGATTTTTCAGAGGTTTCAAATAATATACTAAAAGCAGAGTACAACCTCCAGTGTTAGAAAAAGTTACAAGATTAAGTACAGTCCAGTGTTTTTGTATTGTTAACTCATTCCATTTTTCAACTCATGCTATGAATCCCTATGTTATATTAATTTTAATTGTTGTGATACTGCAAGAGAAAATGTGTTATAATGCACTTCTGTTGAGGCCTTTAGGAAGCTCAGCTTTACTGATGTAAGAATAATATAGTTAACTGTCTATGATTCCACATAGAATCCTACACTTGTAAGTGCAGAGGCAGGGCCTGTGTACCATAGTTCCCTGCTGAGCACTCTGCAGCTGTGTCTGCACTAGCATCTGTCTGTACTGTCCATGGCTGTGTGGTTCATATCTCAGATCATGTATGCAGAAGGGAGCAGAGTGAAAGACAGCGTATTACATTAGGAAGAGCGCTTTCCAAGACAGAGGCTTGGGGAGTATGTTATTGAAATAGCTGTGACTCTGCACTTAGTTCCGTGTATTTTAACTAATTCATATGTTGAAGAACTTTTTGGCCTTCAGTTGAACTGAATGAGTAGAAAATGAGTTCTTTTCTTCTTCATTCTAATGAAAATTAGGCCTATTACTGGCATTATCACCATGCAGCAGTGTCAGTGTGAAAATCTGGTTCTTTTTATTCTTTACTAATAAATTTTTGTGCTCTCAACTTTCCCGAGATACACTTATTTTCTATTTTTTAAATTTTTTATTTATTTTTTTTGGTACTGGGAGTCGAACTCCGGTCCTTGCGCTTGTGCAGCAGGCAGCGAAACCCTGAGCCAAATCCCTGGCCCAGATATACTTACTTTCAAGAAATACAATATTAAGTTTTCATTATTGTAATTGATAAGTCAGGACCATTTTTCAGATAGTTCTTACAGTGCAAATACTTTTGAGGCATTTTAGCTAACAGTACAAATATGTATATTATTAAGATTCCTCATTTAATCAGATAGGAAGTTTTACAGACTTTGTGTCCTTATTTTCCCTTCTGAAACTGATGGGGAATCAAAGAAGATAGGTTGAATATTTATGAAATGATGAATATAAATTAGAATGATTAGAGATGTCTTGACACATACACCAAAGAAGGTACAGTTGTGGCCAGCTTTTAGTGATAGAAATGAAGTTTAGCTTAAAATTTGTTCTGGGTTAGTTTGACTCTTCACATATTACTCTTAAACTACATCATAGTTGGACTAACTGAATTTGTACTGAGATTTTGACATACAGAATATGTTTTGAGTGCTTGTTAGAAAACTTATCAGAGAAAGTTTTATGAAATGTTTAATATCTGTTTGTCTTAAGCTATGAAAGTATCTAGCATAGATTCTTCAGAACAGAAAAAAACCAAGAAGAACTTAAAGAAGTTTCTTACACGACGCCCCACTTTGCAGGCTGTGCGTGAAAAAGGTTATATTAAAGGTAGGTAGGATAAGAAATGTTTATAATAATGAATGTTGGTCAAAATCAGAAGTAAGACATTTTAAATTAAAATTGAAAAATTTCCAAATAATAAAAACGTCTTATTTTGTGTTCATAAACTTTTCAGATACAGTGGTTAAAAGACATTTTGAGTAATCAAAATTGATTTTTAAAATGCACATGTAAAGATTTAGTTTACATTGACTTTGACACAAATACCAAATTAAATTTTTAGAAACCTGCATGAGAGGAGTGAGACATGTTTTTATAAGTTGGGTGAATGAAGAATCTTAGTTTTGCAGTGGGAAGAGCAGAAGTTAGAAATTTTGAGTATCCTGTAACAAAATGAAAGAAAAAATGAATAATTTTGTTCTTGATTGTTTGCCTTCAGCTCTTATTTAAGGTAATTTTAAAATTAGTGAAAGTGTTTTTTAAATTTCTTATTTGTTACATTTCTTATGTCATTTAGAATTTTGTTTTTGCTTTTTTGGTACTAGGGATTAAACCAGGGCACACTGAATTACATCCCAGCCCTTTTAAAAAAATTTTATTTTGAGACAAGGTCTTGCTAAGTTGCCCAGGCTGGGCTGGAGCTTTTGATCCTCTTGCCTCAGACTCCAGAGTGCCGGGGTTACCGGTGTGCAGTGCTATGCCCAGCTAAGATACTGGGGATCAAACTCGGGATCGAACTCAGGACCTGGTGCTTGCGAGGCAGGCAGTGGAACCACTGAGCTAAATCCCCGGCCCTAAGATCTTGTTTTTTTCAATAGGAAAGTGTTCTTTAAAATCACATATCCCTGTATATGGTTTTATTTCTTACAAGTGTGTTTAATTCCAAAGGCAAAAAAAAGTTTTAATACTTGACTGAAAACAGTGACAAATATTAAAAAATAAAGGCAATGTAACACATAATGCACATAACTGTATCTGATTATAAGATTTCTAACAAATACTATCACCAGAACATCTGTTTGCAGAGTATCTAAATTAAAATAAAAAATAAGTCTCATTAAAGGGGTATTTAAGACTTCTAGGAGGAGTTCAAATTAGCACCCTTAAGAGTTGTAGATAAATATTCCTGAATGAAACATATGAATTGCCATATTATATTTAGAGCCTTTAAAAAGCAAACAAAGCCTGATAACTAATTTAATAGAAACGGTTACTAATTTTTTCATGAGGTATTTTCATTGAAAAAAAGCATTATCCCTTTATGAAGTTATTCATCACTTCAAATATGTTTTTTCCCACATATTTAGTGCGAATGTGGGGGTTCTAAACTGTTGAATTAAAAGATTAATAGAAGTTTTTGAAATAAATTTTCTCGGGTCCGATGTTGGCAGATGGGCATGCATTTGTATGTTAATTAAAAAAAACTTGAGTATTTAATAAGTTCTAGGCCTGAGCCTAGGTATGATGAATACCTGTTGATGTTGAAGAACTACCAGCTCCCTGCTCTCATGGAACTTACACTCAGGTGGCAGACAGACAAGATAATTTCAAATGGGACAGATACACTGTCTCTGATACAGTAATAAAATAGAGCAATTAATTGAGAGATCGGGTAAGGACGGTTAGAAGAGTTTTCTAAGGTGCTAACAATTTAGCCGAGACCAGGAGTGAAGAGGAGGAGCCAAATTTTGGGAAGAGCCACATTTGTTCTCTGCAAAAGGAATAGAAAGTAGAAAGGCTTTCAGGCAAAAATGAGTTTTGGTATTCAAGAATTGTTTGAAGTGAAGTTGAAGAAGTAGACAAGGAAGCTCATCAGGCAAGCTCATGTGAGAAGTGTCAGGGTACCCAGATGTTTTCTAGTGCATCCTGAGTGGTTTAGCCATTCCCTAAATTTAGCAAGGTGGTTCATCTTTAAAAATAAATCTCTTTCAGATCAAGTATTTGGAGCCAATCTTGCTGATTTGTGTCAGAGAGAGAATGGCACAGTGCCAGAATTTGTGAGGCTGTGCATCGCGCATGTTGAACAACAGGGTAAGAGAATAGTTTTGATTTTATTTTTTTACATTAAGCAAGCCAACTCATTGTTTCATGATCAAAATATCTAGGATTTTTAATGAGGCAACCAAAAGTTTCTTATGGTCTTACGATGTTAAGAAAAGCACTTGGTTTGCAAAAACACTTACATGTTTACTCTTCAAGCTAAGATCCCCCTAGGCATCTATTGAGTGTTTAATATGTCATGATTAATTAGGCAGCTGGAAATCTTGGAAGACATTTGGAGTTACCATTTGCTTAAAATGAAGAAGGTAGTGATTGTAAAGCTGAGTTTCTTAAGAAATGATGTAATGGTGTAGAAGATCTGAGATTATATCTACTTACAAGGAGAAAGTTTCCTTTACTGTAATAAAAATAAGGTGGCATTTTAAAACTATAAATCAACTATAAAGTAACTAAATAGACAAAAAGCCTTTTTAATGTCATTTTCTGAAAATAGACTAATTTCTATTTTATTTAATTTTAATAATATGTATGCTACATTTGTATGAGTTGACTATATATTGATTGTAACCTTTAATTTACATATGTATATCATTAGAAATGTTTTATACAATTAAAACACGTAATTTGGCTTGTAGTTTTGGCAGCTACAGGTCTCTGGTCTCATTGACTTCTCTCGTCACACTTGCCTTTGTATGAGGCTAAATGAATAGCACATTAGATAATGTGCTTCGTTAAATGTGTACAGCATTATCAGACACTTTGAAGAGAGTTCTTCAGTGTGTGCATTTGCCTTATAAAATCTTGTGCAAAAAAATGAATAGGTTGACCCCTGTCTACTGGCTTCTTCTCTTAACTGTCCCCAGGTGTTTGTAACAGTTTATCTTAAATTGTTTGTATTTTAAGTTTAATGAACGAAATGTTTTCCTTGGGCTAAGCTATAGTCTACATGGCAAAGTAGAATTACTCCTATTTACTAAACAGAATTCAGAGTGAATTACCACTCTTCCTCCTGCCAAATGTCTATAAAAACCCATTTAGAGGAAGAATTTGTCCCTCCGGTCTTAAGCTGATGCTAATGAGTAAGAATTCTGAAACAGGCACCTTCCGAAAGTTCTTTAAACATAAACTGTTGCTGCCTCTCAGGTTTGGGTGTCGACGGGATCTACAGAGTAAGCGGCAACCTCGCTGTGATCCAGAAGCTGAGGTTTGCAGTCAACCATGGTGAGACTAGACTTCTCTCATCATTCGCGGGAGCATCACTGCTCACTCAGGGTTTAATTCTTATGAATGTCCTATTCCTACTACTTTTCAGATGAGAAATTGGATTTGAATGACAGCAAATGGGAAGACATTCACGTCATCACTGGAGCACTCAAAATGTTTTTTCGAGAGTTGCCAGAGTCTCTATTTACATTTAATCATTTTAATGACTTTGTTAATGCAATTAGTAAGTATGGAATTCCAGTGTTCTTCTAGATACTGAAAATTCTGCTTGATCTTTCTCCTTTCACCCAAGACTTCAGTGGATTGTTTTACTACAGAAATTTTAAATATGACCACCAGATGTCACTGTGTATTACCAAATACCCCCTTTGAAACTATGTCATTGCTTTCAGTTTCATAAGAATTTGCTGCAAAATATCTAGGTGTTTTTTTTTCCCCCCAGAACAAGAACCAAGACAGCGCGTTGCTGCTGTTAAGGATATAATCAGACAGCTGCCAAAACCAAATCAAGATACAATGCAGGTTCTTTTTAGACATCTCAAAAGGTAAGAGAGCTGCACAGCTAGGGGTATGGTGTAGTGCAAGTGGAAGGCGCTAGTGTAAGGGCCACTCAGACCTAGCCTTTGATGCCAGCTCTGGCACTTGCTCCCTCTGTAGTTTGGAAAAAGACGCTTAGCTCCTTTTACTGCCAGTTCTGCATAGGTGAAATTGTTCGGTGTGAAGACTACATTAGAGTAGATACATGTGAAACATATGTGTAACACTTAGCACATAGTAAGTGTTCAAACAAGTGCGGTATATTAAATTACCCTAAGATAAAGCCATCACAGCGTTACATTATTGTGTAGCCACTTTAATATGTTCAGCTTTAAAAGAACATTAGAATACTAAAGTAAACGACCTCAGACTTTTTAAAAACATACACATTTAAAAGTTTTACTCTTGGGGCTGGGGATTTAGTTCAGTGGTTCTGGTGCCTGCCTTGCAAGTGCGAGGTCCTGAGTTCCATCCCCACTACCAAAAAAAAAAAGTTTTACTCTTTGTACCCTAATGGAATGTCATCATCCATTCGTGGCACACCCCACCACCACTCCAGGTATGAATCATTGTTACCTGAATTGTAACACACGGTTTAGTCTATGTTCTATTTTAAAAATTAAACTAAAAGATCACACATTGAAAAAGTGTGTTGCAGTATGTGTAATTATACCTTTCAGCTGTGTTTATTCAAAAGCAAGCTTCACGTGGCATTCAGATTGAATTTTGCTTTTTAAAATAGTTTATGTGTCACCTTAGGAAAGTTAGCATTAGCTCTCTTTTCTAAATGCACCCTATTAGGCTTAAAATACAATTTGAAAATTTTTCTCTCTTTTTAACTTTTCTCTTTTAACAATTTTTTTTCTTTCCCTTAGAGTTATAGAAAATGGAGAAAAAAACCGAATGACCTATCAGAGTATAGCAATTGTTTTTGGTCCCACTCTATTAAAGCCAGAAAAAGAGACTGGTAATATAGCAGTTCATACTGTTTACCAAAATCAGATTGTAGAATTAATTCTTCTGGAATTAAGTTCCATCTTCGGACGTTGATTTTTATGGAAGATAACCTGTGGGATAGAAGCTGGATTCCATCAGATTTCAGATCTTTATACACAATGTGTTTTATTTTTGGACCAAACAGTGGCTCTTTTGATTTGCACTTTTTGAGGGGTCAGAAGGGAAGGGAGCGTGAAGATGCCTGTTAGGTCCTCATGTTTGCTGCTTTCTTGCGAGGTGATGAAACTGTGTAATTTTAGATTCATTTTATCATGAATGTTTGTATTTCATACTCTGAATTTCAGTAAAAATCAAAACTTAGAATTCTAACCAGTCATATACACTGGATAATTTGGTAAGAAAAAGTACATTTTCCCCCCTCAAACTGGATAATGAATTTCTTCTCGTGATCTGTAAGTTCTTCATTTGGTGGAACAATACTTACTATCATTTATTTTGAAAACACTCTTGGGCATTTAAAACAAAATGAAGTATATCCTCTTTGAAACCTGTGTGTCTCTTTTTCAGGGCTTTGCATGCAGTGGCAGCGTAAGTGCTAGATCCATAGCAACCTAACCATGACCCTTGGCGAGGCTTGCTGCTGCTCACTGTAGTGCACAGCATCCTCACTGGATATCGTAGCTGCTTGTTTGTGCAGCACACTAACCCTACTTAAAACACTGTGATTTACTGGGGTTCTAGTTAGCTAGCTCAGTTCAGGGTACTGTTGAGCTGTCTTGCTATACAGAATTGTAGCTAACAGTCCTAATTATATCTAGTGCCATATCGAGTTCTTGGTATGACCCTGTGGAAACAGACATTTGATGTAAATATGGGCTAAGGACTTCATGTTCTTTGGCTTGTGTATATAATTGTGTTGTATAGTCTCAGAGTACATTCTTACCCTACATTTCTAACCATGATATTGGTAATCTTTTCCATGAATATGAGGTCTCCTCCAGACGTGGGCCATTCCTTAGGAAAGTTAACAGTGTACACTTTTAGATTTTAATTACATCTACAGACAGATTACTGCAATGCAAATGGTACTGGAAAAATACTGAATAAACTTGCTAAATGGTAAATGCACTACAAGAGGAACCTTTTAGATAATTTAATACGTACAGAATACATTAGAAAAAATTTATTAGAGGATCCTAATTCTCCAGTCTGAATAGTAGAAACCATGTGTAAATTAGATGGGTGCCAGATGGGAAATGACATTGCTAAATTTAAGAGTTTCTTTTTACATTACTAATGTAGATTGATTTGTATAATACAGAGTTTGGAAGGTTTTGTTACAGGGAGCATGGTCTGTTGAAAATTTTTTTAATTGTATTTTTCTAGATTAACTGCTGTATATGAAATGTCTAATCTAATAAAGAAAACTATAAGAGGTTTAGAGATTTTTCCATTGGAAATGTGCATTTTGGTTTTAAATTTTTTTGTTGTTTTTCATTTACTGTCATATTCGTATACCTCATCTAAAAAATCCACTGAATCCAGTATTTCCTGTGGCATATAATGCTTTCCTCATTTTACAGCTTTCTTGTTCCTTTCCATGCTGACACCTCTCTGTACCCAACACATGTTTTATTTCTTCATCCATATTTGGAAGTGCATGATTTGACCAATATTCGCTTTCCTTAGATTACACTTAAAATTTACAGATTGTCTTCCTTGGGGACTTTTTTTCTGGGCTAGGGGTGGGGGAAATAACCTGTCTAAAACTTCTCCCCGTAGTCGTGTGGTGAAAAATACTGTATTTGTTGTGATCTGGTTAAACGGATAACCAACCAAACTACTTGACAGCCAAAGCAGATTGTTTTGGGTGGAGAGAGAGTGTCCCAAATCAGAATGTATATGCCTAAAGAGGTCATTATTAACACAGTATGCTGTAGGGCTGGTTTACATCTCAAATTTTATACCAGGAAAACAGGCTCAGATCTGTGATCTGTGATGTTTTCTTAGTGGTCATGAACATATCAAGGATAAAAAAATTGTCCCGTGTTTCTTGTTTCAAAGTGCATATGTGTGTTATGTGAAGTCTTAAATGTTTGATTAGTCCACAGCTAATCATTTTATTGTAATATTATGTGTACAATGAGATCAGTGTTTTGTGTTTTCATTCTTTGTGAATTAAAAATTCTCACTTGTTTTTGTAATAACAAACCAGTAATATTTTCCTATCTTGACAGCCTGATTTTTTTTAGTAGAAAATACATTAAAAGATAAAATAATTTACAGTGGACTTTATTTACTCATAGATATTCCTTCACAACATCATAAAAAAGTTGGAAATTGAAAAAGTATATCCAAATGCACTATTATAACTCCAATTAGAAGATACTCATTTAAATTTTTTTTTTGTATTGGAGATCGAACTCGGGACCTTGAGCTTGCAAGGCAGGTGGCGGAACCCCTGAGCTAAATCCCCAGCCCACTTATTTAAATTTTATAGCAGTAAATTTTGCTTTTATTCTACAAAATAAATTATGAAATATCTGCAAAAGTGATGCTGTTTTTGATAGAGGCAAATCCATAAACATTTTTTTGTATGTGTATGAAAAACACAAATGGAATAATTCAGCCAACTTTGGGGTAGGGATAGATTGGTTATAGGTGTGTTTGTAATATATTTTCACCCACACATACGTGTATGTAAATATGGTTATGAGTATGCCAGTTGCTAACCATACAAGTGAAAACTCATCAGTAATAATAATGGCCGATGCCTGGAGCCCTTTCTACTGTTTTCATTTCAGCCCATGCTTCTTGGGAAACTCATCACACTGGGTATTAAGATAGTAGCAAGGAAAAAAGATTTCTCCATAATTGTGTCAAGAGATTTTAGCAGTTCATGAGAAAAGCTTCTAATTAAATATTGAAAGTAAACATGTAGCTCCCCATGACAGTAATTCCTCAGACACCTTTAGGCATTTTTAAAGAATTCACAGAAGAATCCACAGCATATCATTTGGCTAAAGAGAATAACAGTAGTCCAACGATGTCAGGCATTCATTGGTCTGATAAAAGATGAGCGTTCTAGTCTTGCATCCATATAGAGAATTGAAGAAGGTAAGACACCAGGCTTTGCGGAGTTTGCGTCCCGTGTGGACTCCGTCCGTCGCTCTCATGATCCGTGCTTGTAGGAAGCACCTCTTGAGCCGTGACCAGAGAAGCTGTTTGCTGGGGACCAGGCTGTGTGTTAGGGTTGAAGGTGGGCCATGGCTTTTGTTTTTGTTTTTTAAAGCTGTACTCCAGTACAACTAATGTCTTCTTCAGTGCAACTTTAATTTGAGATAAAAGAAGAAACAAGCAACTGGAGTACAAAACAAAACCAATAGCCTCACAATAACAGTGTATTTGAATCTGTTGGAACTTCACAAGCTGCAAACTCAGGCCAAGCAGAGTCGGGTTTAGTATTCTGGAGAGGAGGGACGCAGAATGCCTAATGAGATGTTGTGCAACTGGTAAGACAAGGGAGCGCTCCTGAAGAATCTCAATTAGTCTTCTCAACTGGAGTTTTGTTGACCAGTCCTGGCTGTAAGTAGAGTCAGCTGGATCGAGCTTTTACAAATTAGCCTTGTGCAAATGTGGCACTTAAATGAACTCTTTCATTTTCTTCATTGCTTCACTTCTCCCACAGGGGGAAAAAAGGAAAGAAAAAAAGCACTTTCAGAGTACTCTGAAAAAGAGAGCACTTGTAGAACAAGGTAACTGTTTAACAAACCACTACAATGCATATTTAGAAAAGTTTGGTTTCTTATTTTTCTCATCAGCCCTCCCCCCTTTCCCTTTTATTTTTAAATGCTTTCAGAAAAACTACCTTTGGTAGTTAATTACTGATGCTGGTAAACATCTTTCAGATCATATAGTTGTGGCTCATACAGCAAGTAACGTTGAAAATTGTAATATCGTCATGAACCTTGCTAATGAATCCATGGAAATAGAGTGACAGATTGCTGTTATCAGCAGGGTCTTTGCAGAGGCAGAATCAGAGCCATTGTAAAGTCTTGGTGTAGTGACCGGATGGATTCTGCCCACATGTAAGGGCTCCTTTTTCTCCTGGGCATTTGAGAGTTAATATTTAGGCAAGAAAATAGGAATCTTAGATGCTCAAGTACAACTTGATAAGGCAGGAAAAGACCAGTAAGACCCCTCACATTCACATAGAGTCATACATTCAGTCACTAACACAGACCCCAGGGTGAAAGACACAATATTTTGATTAGTTACATTAATTTAAAGTTTATGATCAGCTTAAGTGTAGTAGTGCCCCCTTTTTTCACAGGGATACAGTGTGAGTCCTCTGGTGGATGTTTAAACCATGGATAACACATGGGTTCTGCATTTGTGAATATTTTCAACCCATAATTGAAAAAACTGGAAAATTGCATCTGATTGCACATGTACAGACTTTCTTGTCATCCCCTAAACAATTCAATATAACAGCTATTTAGATAGCATTTACATTGTCTTAGGCATTATAAGTAATCTAAAGATGATTTAGAGTATATGGGAGGATGTATGTAGGTTATGTGTGCATAGGTTATAAGCAAATACGATACCCTTTTACCTAAGGGACTTTAACATCTGTGGATTTTAGTATCTACCAAGTGGTGGGGGCAGGGAGTGCATCTTCCAACTAATCCCCTGAGTATACTAAGGAACCATTGTATTTTTAAAAATATGTCCCACAACATTGCCACGTAGTTCCAGAGTTAATTTGTTTTAGTTTCCTAACACGTCCTGTGCATCACTACACTTGACTTTGGGACTATTGTTAAATAAGAGCTACAAGCACAGGAGAAAGAACTCAGATTGTTACGAGGGACTTACTGGAGGGAAGTATATAATGTGGATACACTGCACAAAGAAATGATCGTGTGGTACTGAGTGACGTCACAAGATTTTAAAATGCTGCTTAGAACAGTACTCAATTTAAAACTTACAAATTGTTAATGTCCAGAAATTTCTACTTAATATTTTTGGGCCATATGTTAGTTTTCCATCACTTTAACAAAATGCCTGGGTAAATAAACTTACAAGGAGGAAATGTTTATTTTGGCTCATGGTTTCAGAGGTCTCAGTCGATGGCTGCTTGGTCCTGTTGCTTTGGGGCTGGGTTGAGACAGAAAACATCATGGTGGGGAGCACATGGAGGAGCAGACCTCCTCACTTCATGGCAGCCAGGAAGCCAAAAATGAGAGGAAGGGCCAGGGTCCCAGTATCCTTTAAAGGGTGCAGACCCAGTGACCTTTCTTCCCTACCTCCTGTTTCTCCACCTCCCTGTGAAATACTGCAGGCTGGAGACCAGGCTGTCAACAGATGGGCCTCTGGAGGGCACTGGAGATCCGATCTGTAACAGACCAGAACACAGTTCACAGCAACTGAACCATGAACACTAAACTGCCGGTGTGTGTGTGTGAAGCGTATTCTAGCATGTTCGGTAATATTTAAGGAAGAAATAAGTAACTTGTTTTCTTTTGTGGTCATCTGTTTTCAAGCTAGGTTAGTTTTTATTGTGTTTTCCTTTATATGATACATGTACATTATGTACGTCTTACAAATATAGGTATCTTTGACTTGTAGTTGTATAGAACATGAACCAGCATCCCTTCCCCTTCCCTGGCAGATAATCAGACTTGAATTCTGGTCCCATTTCTATCCACTAACGTCCTTGAACCGGCCACGGAGTACACTAATCTCTCTTTTTTGGTACCAGGGATAGAAGTTGGGTCCTTGCGCTTGTGAGGCAGGCGGCAGAACCACTGAGCTAAATCCCTGGCCCTCTAATCTCTTTTTTTATAAAGGGTATCGCGTCACTTATGTTCTAGAACAGTACTGTTCAAGCTATAGTCACCAGCCATATGTGGCAATTTAAGTTTCTTAATTTAAATTTTTAAAAATTGTGGTTGAATACCCATGACCTGAACTTCCCACCCTAACCAGTTTGGTAGTATTAAGTCCGTTCATAATGTCGTGAAACCATCAGCAGCATCCATCCCCATAACTCTTTCCATCTTATAAAACAAATTCTGAATCCATGAACAGCAACTCCTAAACCCCTCACAACTCCTGGCAGCTGCCATTTTTTCGTTTGTATGGCTTTGACTACTTCATGTCAATGGCAACATGCAGTATTTGTCTTTTTGTGACAAGTTTTATTGCCACTTAATATGTCCTCAAGAGCCATCCATGTGGTACTGTGTGTCCCACAATTTCTTTTTAGGGCTGAATAATATCCCCTTGTGTGTACATGCCACATTTTGTGGTTATTTATCTGTCAGTGGACATGGGTTGCTTCTGTATCTTGGTCATGCACTGTGTGGCTAATGTCACCATGAAGTATAGACAAATACCTCCTTGAGATTTGGTATTAAGAAAAAAAGGCAAATTGAACTTGATTAAAATTTTGTTCCTCAAAAGACATTATCAACAGAGTAAAAAAGGCAACTCTTAAAATGGGAGGATATATTTGAAAATCATATCTAATAAGGAATTGATACTCAGACTGACTAGAGGAGAAATAAAACGTAACCAAAAAAAAAGCTAATGCAAAATAAGCAAAGGACTCAAATAGACATTTCTTCAAAGAAGATATGCAAATGGCCAATAAGTACATGAAAAGATGCTCATCACTATTAGATATTACTATTACTAATTATTAGATTATAACATTAAAACTCTAAGGTGCCACCTCACACCATTTAAGTTGACTGTATTAAACGTTGAAGGGAATATGGAGAAATTAGAAGGTATCTTTTTGCCCATTTATATTCCCTTGATGAGAATGTAAGATGGTAAGACCACTGTGGAAAGAGTGTGCCGGTTCTTCAAATTAAAAGTAGTGGGGAAAAAGGTAGAATCACTGTATAGTGCAGCAATTCTGCTCAAAAGAATTTAATTAAAATTAAATAAAGCAAAAATTTAGTTAACTTAGCTGCAATAACTACATTCTTGGTGCTTGGTAGTGACCCAGAATTAGTGGTCACCATATTGAACATTGAAGATATGGAACATTTCCATCCTCTCAGAAAATTTTGCTGAACGGTGCTATCCTAGAAGATGGATTGTGTGAAATAAGCAATTTTAAAAAGCGCAATTTGCAGAATTTTTTGAAAAATACAAGACCCAAAGCATTATGCAATGATTCATAATTGTCTCGTAGGCTACATGATACTAGAGATCCTTAAGGAGAGAAATAATTTTTGTTACAGGTCACATACTATCTTCATTTG